CGTAAAACTTAACATTGATTATCTTCTGTTTGATTAAAAATGTATGATAACGTCTTAAAAGATATGCAATATTATATTTTATATTTTACAAGAAAAGATGTTAGAATAAAAAAAAAGAGATAACACAAAAGTAGGATACATTTCCACAAGAACTTTTGTTCATAATGAAGCATAATATTACGTAATAGGCTGTTTACAATAAAAATATAATGGAAATGCTCGCGCACTCCGTGTGTTGGTCCATAGTGTGATAACAATAATAAATATACATTAATATTCTTATAAAATGTTTCCGCGAATCACACTTGTTTATAGACTATTAAACATTATAACTACGATTTACATCGAAAGATATACTGGCATTACTATTAATAACATTATTATTAACACATTTCTACGATATAACGGGAACTACGACATTGTCACTTAAATATACAATATACTATTATTACCAAAATTTATTGTACTATTATACGAATACTAATATTTCTATTATCATTATATATAACTCTTTCGTTACTACTACTTGGTACTTAAATTGTTATTACGGCTACTATTACTGCTACTGCTATTACTGCTATTACTATTACTACTGCTATAACAACTACTGCTACTACAACAAAAGTAACTACTACTTCTACTACTCTTACTACTGCTGCTGCTGCTACTACTACTACTACTACTACTACTACTATTACTACTATTAGTAATTCAATCATTACTACTACTACTACCACTACTACTACTACCACTACTACTACTACCACTACTACTATTATTACTACTACTACCACTACTAGTAGTAGTGCTTCTACTACTATTACTACTATTGCTACAGCAACTACCACCACCACTACATCCCGAATAACACATTTTACCCGAGGGATATCCTAAAGACGTCTTTGGGACATCCTTTGAAGGTCTTTTCTGTATGGGACTATCACTACTACTACCGCTACAACTTCTACTATTATCACTACTACTACCAATAATATTACTATCATTACTATTATTACCGCTACTATTAGTACTGCTACTATTACCACTATCACAACTACTATCACTATTACAGCAACAATTACTACCAATAGTGTTACTACTACAATTACTACAACTACTTCTGCTGATGCTACTGTTATTAATTCTAACGATACTCTGTTAATATTTCTATTATTATTAATACAACTTTTCTCCAATACTGCTATCGCTATTACTGTTGCTACTATTCTTGTAAGTTCTTAATAGGCATTACCACTATTACTATCATAATGATACTGTTATTGTTATTATGCGGGTAGTGGTGTTTTTTGTCTTTCATTGCTTGATTATTATTGTTATATCATGGTATATGGTCATAATTAATTGTTTTCACTCCTACTTTTATTATTAACAAGGCTTAATGCTGCAATATTACTTGTTATCATCATAATTATGGCCTTTTCTTTTACAACCATTATCATTGCCGCATATAACCAGTATTAGTATATTACTTGTTACTATAACGGTTAATAAAATATTGTGAGATTAATCGAGAAAAGAGGCTTTCATGAAAGTATATTAAAATCGTAAATTAAAAAAGCGAATACGCACATATAATTAATGGAAATTGGCAGCGTATGTGCAAACACAGTCGAAGATAATAGGGTTGCTAAACTGCTACACTACGTATATCTCGATACCATCATAAATAAATGAAAGATAATAAATTACCATGAAACAAGTTGTCTATGAGTCAAACAATGTTGCATACATTTGTGGATATTGCACACAATTTTGTATAAGAACAGATTCGGAATATATATATCGCAAAAGATCAAATATTCCTCATAGAATGTATACTACGAAGCATGAATGATGGGGTGTACTTTAACGTATTGTAATGTTTCTCGTATCGAGTGGTTGATGAGTTAATTAAAAAATAACTATAAATATAAATAGACTTGTGATTATTTATAGATGGCGATGTAAGTTTTTGACAATACAAATGTCCGACGTACCGTATGTAACAACTCGATACGCTTTACGTAACGAAATTATTTCAATGTGATACGATTAATTTATCAAGAAAAAATGAAATCAAAACGTAGTTCGTCATCTTATTACTTGTATTGCTGATAGGACGAGTTGTCATGCGGAAAACATTGAATAGCTTCTATACTTGTTTCGTCAAGAAAAATTTACGCTAAGATCTTTGTGATATATGTGATATTGATATCACAGTACTTGCGTGCGACGCTTCTAAACCATAAATGATAGAATAGTATGTGCCAACTGTCATAGTTGATATAAGATTAGTTCTTAGATCTCGGACGAGAATATTTGCGTAAGAATATACGGAAATAAGTACATCGGAATTTTATTACAAAGATATGAAAAAATAGACATAATATCGTAATATATATAACATAATTATGTATGGATAGTAAAATAAGCATTAATAACATACAGTTCAGTGAAAAAACACACACACACTAGAACGAGACTAGTCATTTCCCGTAATTTTTTGAATGTTGGAAAATGAATACGGCTTCCAAATCGATCTATCGCGTAAAGATTTTGAGAAATTTAAAGACAAGGCAACTTTCACGTATGTTGTCATATTCTAATTACGATTTGTGACATGCTGGTAAAATTTTATTGCAATCGAAATTAAATATATTGTTAGGACTTTCAGCCCGCACAAAAGGAATTTTTTATGTCGGTTGTGATTAATGAGATATTCATAGTTAGATATAGAATCTATTGCAAAAAGCTGCGAATTAAATGATTGACGATTAACTAAATAAGTTCTCAATTATGTTTATTCAAATTTAATAAGTTTAACATTGCTCGAATCCGATGTCAAAATTGACACATTCAAAATAATGGGTTCGATATAACGAATGTCAAAATTTAAAAAATGTCTGAATTGTTGCAAAAGTTTATATATATAAGTCTACCATGTTGAATTTATCAATTTTGACACCGAATTTATATTCAGCGACCTCTATAAGCGGAAAGCGGTTCTGAAATATTCACAAAACGTCGGAAACAAATCCATGACGGGCGTTAATTCGGAAGCCAAATCAAAGTATTCATCCACACCGCGAAAACGTAAAGGATCAGATTAAATAAACATAATTGAAAGTTAAATTTTGTAAATCGTCAATTATGTAATTGACAGTTTTTCCAAAATAGACCCTATACATTTAACCATGGATACCTCCCCGGACAACATAAACGTCTAAGTCGTCTAAAGTCGGAACATAAAATGTCTGAAAGACACTACGGTGTCTGGCCGATACAAAAAATTCTCTCTCAGATCCTAACGTCCTAACGACATTTCCAATTTTGATCGCAACAAAACTTCTCCAGCATGTCACCTATCGTAATTATAATATGGCAAAATACGTGAAAATAGCCCTTTTTTTTTGCAACTTTGATTGTAAATTCCTCAAAATAATGATGTGACGAAGCAATTTCAGGATTCAGCATCCAAAAATTACAGATGATTAGTCTCGTTCTAATGTTGGAAAAAAAAAAGTAATTTTTTGTTGAACTGTGTAATCGAATAGTTGATATGACGCGCGTGATTAATATTTTATGTCAAATGTTCCGAAAGATACTTTGAGAGATATTATTTAAAGTATATATATAATTTATATCATAACTTTACATTCATATTATTCCTTAGAAAAACGGGATTATCTACGCTTAGCCAATTTATAATTAATAAAATATCGAATTTGCGTTATAATTCCCCTTTTGATCGGAATATGTAGAGATTTTATACAACGTATCGCGTTGCCTTGAACCAAAAGTGCGTTAAAAAATCGATTGCACCTCAACAATGGTGGAGGCGTTGTAGATACGATGCTAAACGCTAAACAGTTTAATTCAAGATGGGATGACTGCTATTTGTCGCGAAGTTACTAAAAAATTTGTCTCGCCGGGACAAATAAACGATGAGAAAAGTCCAATGGTAACTGTATAAGTAAAATAACTTTTACATTATCTCTCATACGGATATACGTGTATTAAGCATGTGTAATATAACGTTACGTAATATAATGTACGCAGTTAACATACGTATAAATATGCAGTACACATACGGTCACAATAACATCATTCATCATCGTATTTCTTCACACACGTGCGTCGTATATGTCTCATACTTGTAGCACAATTTATCGTTCTGTGCAAGGAACGATAATGTCGTTTCGACGCGATGTGCCTATGCGAATACAGGAGAAGTGACTGCTACCGTCTGAAATAAATCTTATTCTACCACCAATAAGACTTCCCAGTCGGTTGAATGAAGGTGGACAAATTTCGTATATTAGATGATGTTAGTATATTAAGATAAAAAAAGGTAGGGATACGTTGACTTCGACAACGCTATCTAAATGATATAGAATGAAACGCGCAACACGAAATGTACTCGAAAAATAATATGAATAAAGAACGAGAGAGGTGATACAAGTAGAAATAAGGCGAACATTTTCAACGCCGTCTTATGATTAGAGAAATTAAGATAAAAAAAAAAACGTTCGTTTGTTAGATCAGTTATGAGGAAATGAAAGCCGATTGTTTATTACAATTAATGAATATGCATTGACATACATATATCGTATAATAGACATTGAAGTGTATGTTTCGAGTATAAAGTTTCGGAGAAGGCTAAAAAGCTTTGACCAAATGCGATGCGCTTTCATCGGACTTTGATATTAAAACATTGGTTGGCCATTCTTTTTTCTCTATACCTCGTCGCTCTATCACCGTTTATTTTTGTAAGGGATATCCGTAATTGCCGAAACTCAAGAGACTAACAGAAGATAAATAGCAAATAACATCGTACCACTTAACGCTCGCAACGATTATCTTTGTTTCTTCTGGATGTAAAACGGAATGATGCTCGCACTGAGCCTGCCAATGTAACGAGGTAATGCGCGCGCATTCGTTAAATATCGTGGGGGATATCTTAAGTTTTACTTTGCCATTTTGTTACACCCTTATGCCTACGACACCGTATCTACGTTTTGTAGCCTTTATACGTACGAAAAGATTATTAATTTCTCTTCAGAAATGTATGTGAGAACATTCTTCGTTGGAAGAGTAAAACTATTTCCCTACTCATGTGTAGAAAATTTTAGGAATTGGCCTCTACATCGCGAACATAACGCACATATTGAGATGGTGTGATGTATCAGAGAGAATAATTAGCGATGACACATGATGATCTTTATCCTTCTAATGGGTGATATCGTCACTAACAATTACGAAATGTCAATTGTCAACGAGAATCATTCATTTGTCAAAAACTTAAGAAAATCAATGGGTGCACGTTCAAGCATATATAATGTGCATCTGCTTGCGATATAGTTGTAAATGAAAAACTTGTAGATATGAAAGAAATGCGCACACTCGTCGTGAGAGAAATGCAGTATGATTTATATCAGAGCTCGGAGCAGAAATTGTAGACTTCGGTCGATTTTCAACTGACTCCACCCCGGTAGTGCCGTTCCTCTTATCTCATCGCTCCGCGCGCAGTGCCACTCAGGAGCGTATATATGACTCGTATGTTTCGTGGACATGGTTTTCCGATAGATTTCCACGTCACCGAGGAAACTACTACAGGGTGCGCCAGCTAAATTGGAACTGAAGTTACATTTTACTGTAATAGTCGTTTATTAAATAATAAATGAAACTTACAAAAAATGGCTTGCATATTTTGTTTATGGGACACTTTCTGTAAACTTTCACTCTACGTGGCCGCCTCCCGCATCAGCCTGAAGCGAGAACATGCTCTCTGCATTTGATCTCGGTCTATGTCCGCCTGTTGAATCGCGGTCCGTAGAGATGGGGTCCACATTAGGGTGTCTCGACTTATTACTCTCTTTCATCACCGCTTGCTTACCGTGCTAAATAAAAAAAGAAACGTTTTTCCACGAGAACCAAGTATATAGTTGCCGCGTCTTCCTGCCACGCGACAAGCGTTTCCGCGTTCTATGTAGAGAAGGCATTAACCTAATACTTTTAAATGCAAAATGAACAACAGAGAAGTCGATTTGTGTGAAAAAAAAGAAAAACTACGGACCATTAAAAAAAAAAAATGACCCCGAAATTACCTTGAAATATTGACTATACAACGAAGTTAGAGTTAGTGACTTAAACCCTTTTGTCGGGAATATTTCTTTCCATTTTTTATATATTTTGACTTCAAAAGCTAAATGATTCACCTTATAGTTCAATGTCCCTCGAAGAGAGACAAGCTCCATCAAGTCAGTCTTTCAACCAATTCTCTCCTTCAATTATACATGCCACAATGTATTATGGACAATTTATAAATAGCACCATAAAACAATCGTTTATTTTCGTGCATACACTCCAGTGCAACGACCGCTCAGAAGCTTTATTAAATCATTAAATATGAAATATCTGATTTAAGTATCTCAAACAAGAAGCAGTACAATTAATCAAAGTATGCGTCTAAACTGTCGACATAGCTTTGCCATTTTAACGGTAGGTAGCTTGTTTATGCCGGCAGCAAAGAAGCCTGGAAAGCGAATGGTAATGAAATCGCGAAAGGCGTTTTCCACAGCTTGTTGAGAAATGAATATTTTCCCCCGCAGGAAGTGGTCCAATGCCTGGAAAAAGCGGTTGATCCGATGAGTGGCGGAGAGCTTCCAGAGCTCCTGTACTTTCAGCAGCGTTGTTTGCGGTCGAGGGTCCTCTCGCAAGAGGATTGTCTCTATTGACCAATCTCGGCTGCTTCTTAATCGCAAGTTCCCTCATCGTTTCGTCCAATTGGTTGCCTCCGCTGTAATCCTATTGACCAGGTTTCATAAAGTTGTAGTGAATATAATATCAGCGTCACATTACCAAACTATTTTTTTTTGTTTTTTTTTGTGAACATTCGGTTGCTGACTGTATTTCATCTTTATCGAATCATTGTGCCGAACGCTCGCGACTGTTGGAAAGAATCCATTTGTCATCACACGTAACGATATGACGTAGAAATGATTCGCCTTTATGCCGTAACAGCAAAGAAAGAGACGATTTCATTTCTGTCGCCCGTTTAAGCCATGCGGAATCCAGTTTCTTTACGATTTGTTCGAGAAATGGGTTCGTTGGAATAGCAAACGTTGCTGCTAATTCACGCATAATTTGAGATGTATCCACTATAGCTTTCCACTCATCCACCTTGGTCGCCCCCGCATAGCTGATTTTTCAGATTTGAATCACCGAAACGGAACATTTCAAACCACCGACGTACCATGCGCGTTCACCATCCTCGCCAAACACGTCATTTCGAGCTGTCCGCATTGGTTCCACGACGGAACTCACATTCGATAACATGAATTTTTTTACTTATCCGTGGTTTCACGAAAATTGATCTGAAAAGGACAATTCGAAAGATAGTGAGAAAGTGCGTTTGAAAGAGGACGTACCTTCACGATAAAACGAAAGCAAGAACTGTCAAAGTGAAACGTCTCTCGTGCTTAAGGAAATATCACACTTAACATGATGTATGTATACTTGTAGTTTATCCTCTCGCCGGAACGCAAACCATCAAGTCAATTAAGTCAAAACGATTTTATTCAATCTGGGACACACTGATACACGGATGATTTGAAAACGAAAAGACTTCCAACTTAACACTTGATTTTTTTCTTTTCTTTTTAATGATCTGAGATATGCATGAACTTCTCGCATTTTAACAGTTGTCTGCATCGGGAATGTAATCCATTGGCCAAAAAACGGTCGCTTTTTATCGTGCTCCATCACAGTGACATACTCTTCTAACACCAGTGACAAAATTGACGACACTTTCAATGTTCGTACACGCGAATACAACAGACGTCGCAAAGCAATGTTTAATTTACGATAGAGAAGAGAGAGATTTCAAGGTACATAAACGATAGACCTTTCTACATCAACTCCTGACATTCCGGCAATTATACGCCATCCGTAGTATCAAGTTGATCGAAAAGTTTATTCTTTTTTGTTTTTTTTTCTTTTTTTTTTACATAGTAATGAAAAAGAAGGAACAGGACAAAAGCAAGAAAGGACGAGACTACTTTTTGATCAACTTGATATCTCGGGAACACCGTCCGCTCTTTTTTGAGAAACACCGTTTCTCCACGCACATTAACGAATACGGTTTTTCTACGTTACATTCGCGAAAAATATCAATATTCTCGAGTCTTTTAAAAGTTCTGAGCGTTCTGATCGTAAAATCGCACACTCGCGCCTTTCACGCGTCCTCACGCTGCGTCGTCGGCTTCTTACAAACAACAGCGGCGGAATCCGCCTCATCCTCCGCTTTGCGTTTCTTCCTCACCAGATGCGAGATATCACTGGCCGGTTTAAACGTAGTAGCGCCGTTTCCAGCGGCGTCGCTCGATTCCGCGACATCGTTCAACGCGTCCTCCTTGATCTCCTTGATGACACCAGCCTCTTTTTTGAGATCCTTGATATCGGCAATCTTATCCTGAATCTCGGGCAGGAGATCCTTCAGCTCTTTGATCTCGCCCTGAACGGTGTAGAAAGGATCGTTGCAAGACTCGGGAGGTGGGTCGTCCTGCATACTCTGAAGATGTACAATTCGTGTTTCCAGCAAGGCCGACGCTTGCTTGAACTGTTCGATGCTAGCGTCGAAATCGTTGGCCATCGCGTGCGCGAGCCCGAGCTGATAGTGAATCTCGGCGATCGCGCGATGGTCGGGCGGCGTGATCTTTTGCAGCAGGTCCAGGCAACCCTGCAGATCGATCAACGCGGTCTCGTGATTGCCTCCCTCCATGGCTACCTCGCCCAAGAGGCGGTAAGCCTCAGCCAGATATTTCCAGCCCGACGAGCCACGCTTCAACAGCACCAGCTTCGCCAATTCCAGTACCTCCCAGGCGATCTATTCATCAGAGTTGTACGCACCGATGTGTAAAAAATTAATAATCCGTAAAACATAGATAATAATACCTGTAGATTGTTCACATCGTCCTCGTCGTTGTCCTTCTCGACGCTCTCCGTCTTGTTCGCGCCATCTAAATCTCGGCTGCAACCGGGGGTCTCCTCCTCCTTCTGCTTGTTATTCCGTTCCTTAATTTGACAGTCGTCTGTTTTACCGGACTGCTCCTCCTTGCCGTTGAGCTGCTTTTTATCATCCTCCTTGTCGTCCAGTGCGGATGGACTGTTGTCCTCGGTTCCAGTCTCCTCATCTTCCTCCTCCTCTTCCTCCTCTTGAACTTCCTCATCTTGGCTAGCCTCTTCGGATCCGGGTACACCGCCCCCCAGTACTCCTGCCTCCTCGCGAGCCAAACCGAGAAGAGCACGTCCATAAAGCAGATAGAGTTCGCCCATTTCGTCGCCTGTTTCACCGTGCTCCCGAACAAGAAGCTCGCAAGCCTGCGCCAACACGACCACTGCCAGGTTATAGTCGCGCACCAGGAGATGACGTTTACCCTGAGAGATCGCTGTAGCAGCGTCCTTGATCAGCACATCCTCGGACACGTCAGCCATCTGATAAAAAAGGAAAAGGATCCTGCCGATCAGATTTCTACTACCCATTCCTTTTGTCTAATTAAGGTGAGGCTTATTATAGGCCCGCTTGCGGCATCCCTAAGTATTTTCGCTCGGGAAGAATTAACACCGAATCCGTAAACTCACCGAGAATCGTACGGGAAATATTAGGATGGCACAAATACTCGGCGGAGCGAGCTCACGATTTGTGTTTTTTCCAAATCAAGTTTTTCCCAAGTCTGCATCCCATAGCAAACTGGGAATGTGATTCAATAGTCGGATATAAAGATTTGTCGTGAGATCAGCTCGACGACACATTTTAATCCCAACGTAGAGGGTCGGGCGACGAAAGAAACACAGATCTAACACTGCACAACTTCATCGTAAATAGGGTCCTTCTTTACATCGAGGTATATACTGTGTTATTGTAGCGGTCGATTGGAGGGTGGCGCGAATGGTTACCTCAGCGTCGGTCGATTCTCGCCGAAAAGGGACGAAGAGGGCGTCCGCGTCGCGAGGACAAATTGGTTGGTAGGCGGCCGGCGAGGAGGACGTCGCTGCGCCGTGAGCGCTGGACAACGAATGGAGCCGACCCGCGTGCCTCGCGGTCCAGGTCCGCGACTCGTCTTCCTCTTCGCCACGCTCGCGCTGACCTTCGCAGGTAACGATTTCGTACCGAGAAAAACGCATTCCTTGCTCGATTCTATTTTGTAAATAAAATGTTACGCAACATATCGATCAAAGGGAGACGCCTGTAAAAACGAATGATCTTCGCGCGATTATTCACAGGCGTAAAATCGACGATGAAGTAACATTATCAACATTTCTGCCATTCTCTACAATACTGAGTGGCGATCCGAGAGAATGTGTTCTCCCTTCAATCGTATCCTCTTCCCCTTTAGCGACGGGGCTGCTGTGCGGTGCGATAATGTCCGACTATTGGGAGGAAATCGGCTGGGACAAGAAAGATCTTATTCACGCAAATGTCAGCCTCGCGTGGTACTTGGATGGCCAGGTGGCCATGCTGGAGTCTTCTGTTAATTATCGAGCTCACCGCGTCGCCAAGAGCTTCTTAGTACCTATGCACGGCGGAATCTGGATTATGTGTGTTTCTCTATCAGGTACAGATGCTTTTCGCCGCGATGTAACGTTAGACGTTAAGCGAGCACTCATCCGCGCCAAGATCCTTTTTTGTCCGAGCGACTTATTATTTTTCGAACGAATGTTGTCGTTGCTTCTGTAGCAAAATAATTCGAGAGATCGTTCGATCTTCTCAACAATTTTTTCCATTAGTATGGAAATGCCATGTCGACGAGTCAATCAATTGGAATACGATCTCTCGGAGATTGATTCTTACCACCATTACAGCATTACGTAACGATGCGAGACATTCGTGTGAGAGAGAAACAGAAAAGTTATCGCGTTGCCCGAATTCCCGGAAAGAGCCGAAATCACGCGACCGTGCGGATGTTCCGTCCGTTCGATATATCTGGTCAGAGTCAAGGTAGCGCTTAAAATATAGTCACGCAACGGACGGTGGGTAATTGCGCACAGGATGGTATTCGACGTTATAAAGCGTGAGCCGGTAATTATCTCTGTTTACTGCGGATCATTAGCGCGAATATACAAACGAATAGTATAATGCGCTGGCGGAGCAAGCACTGCTTGAACTTTTCAAATATTCTTCAAGATAGGGCTACAGTAAAATTATTCCTTTGACGGTGTTTCAGATATAATCTCTTCCTTTTGTTCGGTCTTAAATTATGACACGCTTCTTTTCCTCTGAAGCTATCAAAGCTGATCGAATCCTCCTCTAGACTTCTTATAGAATTTATCGACAAACTTTAATCGATCGGATAAATATCGGTTAAAATTATCCGTCGAACTAAATATCGATTCCCTTTGTGATAATATCATGCGCAATTGAGCAACAAATCAATCATGGGGTTGAAGAAAAACGTCGCACTTCATTCTTCTAGAGGAAGAGATACAACTGCTAAGTCAGGTGGGTTTCCCGCAAGAGAGATGCATCAATTACTTGACGCCGGACGAGACGCACGAGGAGATACGTGCAGCTTGGCAAAATCGTGAGTGTCGACTTTGTTTCTCTTTCTTTGAAAACGGATTTCTCTTCCGATCGATGCTCCTCCAAAGAGCGATTTGAAAACAATCTACGTTAGCAAAGCGTTTCTCACTCGCTGTATAATGCGCGTATACGTCCCCTTCTTTTTTCTCTCTCTCTCTCTCTCTCTCTCTCTTTAAGCTTACATCCTTGTTACGTTCCATTTCAGGAATGCAGAATCTGAGTATATCGTGCTCCTTGGTGTGCCTAATCATATTGGGTTGCGCCGCCCTTATAGGATTTTTGGGATTATGCATGCATCAGATATCAGCTGTGCTCGTAACAGGAGTGATGTATCTTCTCGCAGGTAAAGTCTCATTGCTCGTCCATTGTTATGTCCTCCCTCTCTTTTACTGAAAAAGTGTTTCGTTCCAGCGACATTCGCACTGTTCACGTTAACCATCATACATTTCAAGAGGGCTCAGGATCATCGGGGTGGCATCAGAGCGGTGAACGGGCCAGAGGACGGTGTGATCGGTATGCCCGTTCATCGCAGCGTCCTCAAAGCCAGACGCTTTACCACAGCGTGGAGCATGGACCTGGGATGGGGCGGAGTGACACTATGCGCTCTCGCATCGGTCGCTTGGATCCTCCTGAGCAAAATTATGCGTTTCAGCCCGATCTCCGCCATGATCGCGTAGCAGTGGGATGCCTTCGAGGTCTAAAGTCGTTTCTGGAATAGAAGGGGAAGATTCACGAAGGACGAGGTTTGTGTGTTCCGGTGCTGCGACTCTCTTAGGTATCACTCCGATCATTCGATTTTTCTATCTATTTAAACATTCTCTGTCATCGCTAGGTTTGTGAAACTGCGTCGATCGATAAAATCACCAGCTAACAATTTCGAGATTCGTACAGACACATCTCTTTATTATACGTCGATATTAAAAAAAAAAAAAACCCCCCGGTGATATTCTTCGGGATGTTAATGGCTTTGCCGAATTAACAATCACAAATTTCGGACTTTTAGATACTTGTCACACGTATGGCCCCTCCTGAGGAAGTGGAAGTCGGGATATTTTGTATGATTAAATGCTGGGAGCCCTCAAAGTCTTCCGAGGAGTAGGGAGAATCGCAGGCCGGGACACTTCCCGAAGAAGATGCGTCCAGATACGACCGTCTCGAAGGCGACGAGTCTTCACTTTGTATTATTTCGTCTCGCACGATAGCGGTGGATGAGTCAATAATTAAGTAAGCGATATATTTTGGAAAAAGAAACGTGTTGCAACATCGCGATAGAATATCGTTTTACAGCATAAACTCCCTTGCTTTTGCGCGCGAACCTTACGGTTAGTGTGAATATTATTTCAGAAATACATTGCGGATGATTATTGGCTCGGTGCGATAGATGGCTTCCAAGATATTTAGCTAAGACGCTTCTCAGAGGGACATACGCGTTTTACGCCTCAAAACTGGAACTGAAATTTGCACTTGAATGCATCTCGTCGATTTGTGTCGCTACACACGACCACTTTCGAACGCATCATGTTTCAACAGACCACGAATAAGCTGGTCCATATAATAGAGGAACGATGCTTCCAAGAGTCACACAGAATCAACGAAAATAAGTATTGCAACGTTATTCCGACCTAGAGTTTTATTTCTATTATATATATATATATATATATGTATGTATATATATATATATATATATGTATACATCTCTCTTTCTCTCTAATATATATGAAGCGTCTTACTAGAACGATATGCATATTTGCAAAGCATAGATAAACGCGTCAATCGGCAGAGCGGAGCATCTGAGCGTCAATATCTTTTACAGTAACAATTACTCACAATATTACGGCAAATGTTATTTAAAAACTCCCTAGGTGTTCGATTCGCAGTTGTTGAGAAGAATTTTCATGTCCTGTTTAGTAAATGCGATGAGCTTTTAGGGACTGCGATAAAGTAACTCTTTAAAAACCAATGCTATAGAGAAAAAAATCTTAAACGACCATAAACTAATTTCAGGTAGACGTTTTAGATTCAGAAAAATGATGAAATTATTGAGAAGGACTCTAAAAACCACTAGCAGAATTCTTGGAAGAATCTTATCATATTTGATAATATAATAATCGCGGACAACGCTATAAACCGTTGTTTAGACACTTCAGATTTTCCTAAAATTTCCCTTTATTTCACAAGGTATTATCTATGTCGTGTTTCGATCTTGCACGATGTAAATTTTTTTAAACGGTGAAGTTTATGTATGCTGAGACTCATATTGCATAACAATTGCACAAAATAACGAGAAATACATACAACATCAGATGTCCAGCTGTATTTCGTCCATTAAGATTTGAGAAATTGCCAGATTTAAAGGATTGTCGTGTTATCTGATACATTTAAGAGGAGAGTTCCCATTAATAGTAAGACAGGTGTGCAGTTTTCCAACTAAGCAATTATGATTGCCATATTTTTTACACGAATTTTGTTATCTGTTACATTGAGATTTATGTATTTATATAAGAACACAATAAAGAATATGCAGAAAATGTCCATTTGAAAAAACAAGTGAGGGCCTCTCAGGACTTTTGATACTAACTATGAAAAAAAATTATGATTGTGTAACGTGTCCTTATGTATCGTTGGTAAAATTAAATTTCTCCCAGCTTGCATTGTTTTACAAAGTCTCGAGATCCCGGATCGCTACATACAAATGTGGAAAACAAGGCGTTTCTTAAATCACACAACATTTTGGAACATATTTTATTGCAAGAGTCAAGAGTAAATATGTTTGGATGAAAATTAATGTAAAAAAAAAAATATCGAGTCACTAATGAGCAACTATTTACGATCGATCTGTTCTTTTCAGTTAAACTGGCAGGACCAAGAAATTTACACGCACTGAAGCATGAGAATTACACAATACATACGCTTTAATGTATATGTAAATTTCACGAACAAGTGTGCAGCCAATTGAGCTAAAAAGAATATTCTCTTTTTTTTTCTTTTTAACGAGCCGATATGAACTACACGTCGCGACTACAGCTAGCACGACGCACAAGAACTGATACGACAATAAAAAATATACAAATCTAGATAATGAATCATTCGAATTATGATCTGTCTCCTCTGAATTTCATTCGTCGGGAATCTATTAAAAAGACAGTATTTCGTATCACGGCTTGAAATGTTTTTGGTGAATGCTTCGAGCAAACACCAATATTTGCTCGTTCGTTTCCTACCTCGAACTCGAGTTTCAGGACGATGATTTCGTTGTTTCTCCCAGAGTGGCGATAACAATATCTCCGATCCTCGAGAAGCAGTGAAAAGAAATTGGAGGGAACTTAACCGTCGGTCACTGCATGCGCAGAAACAGTGAGAAACCGGCGGGCTACCGTGGCCTACACGCGGGTCAACGCGGGTAAAATTTCACGAATGCATGCAAGTGTATGTAATATGATCACCAATGAGAAAGATGGTATATACTGTCAGAGAGCAACTACCAGAGAGAGAAAACCTGTTAGCGACGAAACGAACGCCTCTAGCGGAGACAGCCGTCGTAACGCCAACGTAATATTTGTCTCTGCTAAATTTGAAATAGCCACATTTTGTTTCCCCTTACGTTTCTATGTTCGTCAAGCTCTCGCAAAAATAACACTCCATTAATAAGTTATGCAATAGAAGCATCTATTCGAAAATAACAAGACTTAAAAGTCTGCGTCACACGCGATGCTTGTTTTCTTGTGCTGCGTTCGGAAATACACACTGAGGGTAGAATAGCCGATGAGGGGAACTAACATTCGAAAAATAACTTCTCTCAGGAAAATTTACTGACAAATAATGGATAAATTTAGGAATCCTATACGACGGATAAAGTGGCGTGAGTTTATTAACCAATCATGATGAAGAAATCCTTCCATCTTGATTGGTCAATTAAATGCTACTCTACCTGCCATGTAGGACTTCTGAACATAGCCAATGAGTGTACGATCGCTCGCAATAAACAATTGAATTTTTTTATCTCATCGCCAATAGTATTGATTTTTTTTATGCAAAACATAAAACTTGAAACTTTTCTTTTTTAATTTTCCAATTTTTATTACTTTATATAATTTTATATATATATTTATGTTTCACACGAAAATAATGAAATAAATAATGAAAATAAGCATTATCAACAGTATTGTTATATTGTAATCACTTTTAATAATAAATGTTACGGAGAAATTACCTGGAAATAGAGGAAATATAATTTAAGTTACTTCTTTTTCGCCGGCACATGTTGAAGTTTTATTTATACATTTTTTTCATAATATCAATTCAGTTAATCTTATTATTTAAACGTGACCTTTTGAATCACTCGTACCGGCGCATAACGTTCAAAGTGACTAATTTAAAACTACGTTCAGCAAAGAAAGCAATTTTGCAGCTGTGTAAAATTTGTAAATCTGATTGGTGTATGCTCTAAAGTCAATCAAGAGCATACACCAATCAGATTCACGAATTTTACAACAGTTTTAAAGCTGCTTTCTCTGTTGGACGCAACCTAATCGTAATTTCTATCTCGCTTTCTCGGCGAGTTTATCGAAATGATCCAGCAACCTAACCTAATGTAGTATATGGTGAATCTCCGTGCCTTCCTCGCAAAGTGTATGAACGTTGTCAACATGGCGGACGACGACTTGCTCGTCACGATTTCGGGCGCAGCGCTATCACTGCTATTTTTCGAGAATGTGCGCAGTGTCAGTGATCAGGTATGAAAATGATTGCGCTTCGTTTCTTGGATAAAAATTCTTATCTGACATCTCCGTCGGTAATTTCAACGCGAGAAATTTACTCTTGTCTACGTGCCTAACCTAATCTCTACACGTTAACCGCGAGCCAACGGAATTTCACAGATGGGCTTTCTTCTCGGCGAGGCGCTCGAATTCGTTATCAGGAGCTATACCGACTCTGATAATCAAGTGGAGACCATCAAGCTGCATATCAGTAAGTTTATCTCTTTCGATACCTCGGGCGATCTATTACACGTGTAAACAACGTACCATCGCTCGCCTCAACTCCCTCCCTTTGTACCTTATCTTCTTCGATGTTTTTATACACAAGGTGAGCACAGAAAAATCTCATCGGAAAAATCATTGTACCCGTTGCATCCCCGTCAAAAACAAAAAACCTGTCTCAGAAAAGCTTTGTTTTTAATCTCATGTGTATCCACTTGTTTAGATGTAGAAACTATTGTAACGTGTCCTCTGCTCGACATCCTGCATAATTCCACCGGGCGCATTAACAAGGAACGTCTGAAGGATTTTGTGAGCGATAAGAGCAAACACGTGATTGGTTGGTTTCGCTTTCGCCGGAGCTCTAGCGATCTAGTGCCCAGTCTCAAGGACAAATTGCTGCATAAGCAATTTGCCTCGCATTTTTCGGACGAGAACAGTTGCAAGGAGGAGTTCTTCCTCACCTGTCTCCTCAACACCTGCACCTCTGACAGGCAGGGAACACACAAGTTCCGACACGTATTCCTCAGACGCAAGCGAGGGTAGGCATTCTGTTGCAATCTTTTCGATAGAATTGGAGTTTTCTCTCGACAAAAATCATATATATATTCAATTCGTCGATCGGGTATATTATAAATGAATAATTATATTCTAGGATATTCGAACCAATATCCCTGAGAATAAATAACCTTGGAGACGATGCATCCAGACACGATGGTTCGGACTACAAGCCAACACCTGCTAGGAAATCGGCACGCACACCAGATGGTTTCATCAAATTGATAGAATCGCTGAAGTGAGTATACACCTGTTGTACGATTACAAGGGAACCACTAGTTTCTCTCAATCATATCTATTCATCGCACGAAGTTCGATATATATATTTTGCCCGGCGTTATGATTTCAAGAGTGCACAAAATCTGATTGACCGGTGGATGGTCAAATCCGAGAATTCCTCCTCCGTGACATTTTTCCAAGTTCTGTCCGAGATTAAAAAGAATTAAAAAATTCTCGCTTTCTTCTCCAGTCTGGATCTAACGAGGACCGGAGGGTTGGACTCTGCCATGGCAATTCAGCGAGAAGCCGAGCGTCACTTGGTCTCGCTGATTCCGAAAGTATGCGAGTCGGACTTGGAGGTGGCTATGTTGGAGCAGGAGGTGCGCGAACTGCGAGCGAAAGTGACGGCACAGCGGCAAGCGAAAAGATCGACGATTAATGGCGAAAAGTGCGCCAAAGGTACCAGGGAAAGCTCGACGACCGAAGCGAACAAGTTCGACGCGCCGCATCTGCACAACTCGACGTCCTACGTAAGCCTTTCGCTCTTTTATTGCTCGCCAAATCTTGCTGCCGGTTAGTGTTTCGCAAAGACAACAATCAACCGTGTGCCGGCTGTGCGCAACAATTTATAAGCGGCGTATTAAAATACAGTAGAAACCTAATGCTCGCAATGTGTAAATACGCAGATTCAACAGCCATCCTCCACCCAACGCGCATACCATCGCAATACCGCGGCGTGCATCGCCAAGAGTTTAAATCAAGACAAGTCACGGCGACTCGCCGCGGACGGCTACCTGATAAACGCGCAGGAGCCCTTTCCCGCGGATTTGCCAAATGCGAATCGACATCCTGACAGCATCTCCGAGATCGCCGCCGAGCCCATTTGTCCCGAGGGCAGCGAGGCATCGTGTGTGGGAATCGGCAGAGGTAGGGGCAGAGGCGGCCGGTCAGCAGAGGCCGCACGGGTTATGCGGAAGACCCCTTACCGTCATCGCGAACGCAGTACCAGTCCTAAGCAGGATTTTAACGATGCGCCCGGAAGCCTCCAGAGCCCTACCGTCTCTAGGTGAGGGTTGGAAGAATCGAAGGGCTTGCGAAGGATAATGTTCTTGTGAGAGAAAAGATTCGAGTTGGCTTTGCTTTTTCATTTTTCTCTTAGACACGATGGTTTTCTATAGAGCAAGATATAAACACATGTTTTAGCTGGGAACTTGTTTCAATAAGATTCGTCCACATGTTAGAGGCGTGTAATATTTTTACTTTCTCGCTCGTGTGTTTACAAGTAAAACTTTGTTTAAGTGAACAAAGGATTTATTCCATCTTTCTTCAGACAGCCAGTCGACAGCCAGTCGACGAAGAAGAGTATGAACGACGCCCGCAACGTGACGGGCTCGTCAAATATGGAATGGAGCAACTAAACACCAAAGAAATCGCGCTGTTAAATCATTCTCTTGAACATTGAGCGTTACAAATGTCGGATTCGGAAAGAATGTGTTATCGGATAGAAGCAGTTCGAAAGAGGAAAATCATCCGAGAGTGTGAAATAGAGAGATATCTGAAGAAATGTCTGTAAGAGAATTCCGTGAAGGGAATCGAGAGAAGGAAACCTGCGAGAAGGAACCCGAAAAGAAGGAAGAATTGCGGAAAGTGCAAAGGGTGCTTTCGTATCGAGGAAAACTCGACCGAATTGAGAGATCGCAACGCGTCTATTCAGAGTGTACGTTAGAAACGATTTTTGTATCCATTATTCTATTTATAGGTGCCTTATCAATTTCGCGAAGAGATCCGACAGGTTTCGCGACTAAGGATTCAAGAAAAACAATTTTTCAAAAAGATTGCGTTTTGTTTCTTATTTTACCTCATCGCTTAATTTTTGCCCATTTTCCGTGCTACTGAGTTTCTGTGATACAGACATCTTTTTCTTTTTTTTTTTTTTACAACATGACGTGTGTGTAAATTTTTAGTTAATATACAGCAATGGGAGATACTTTGTAAATAAAGAGCGATTTCGTCATTGTTACTTTGTCCCGTGTGTTGTATAAATAAAAATGATTGACACCTTATACTCTTGAATGAGAATTTAATTAACCAATATTGACTTACTGCTGCACAATAATAAAACTCATTTAACTATTGATTCTTCGTGCCCCCTTGAGAAACTTCTAAGAGAAAGAAATCACAAGAAAATAAATAATATTCATCATCCTCGAACATCATAGAGTGATGTTTCTCTTCTCAAAATGTTAACGCGTGTGTTTATGCGTAAGCGCGTTTTTTTTTTTTTTTTCATTCATTTGTAAAGACAGAACAGTGATGTAAAAAGAAACCTCTGCAAAGATGGTACTTGCATGCAGAAAACTTAAAAGTATTCTTTCTAACGTACGATAAATATTGGAATAAGAGAGAGTCGCAGGCTAAATAACTGTGGATATTATTTTGTACATTTTGACAGCTGTCTGACCATCTAATTAAATATTTGTATATTGAATAGCATATAAAAGTAGTGCGACGATTATGTGAAGTAGAAGAAATTGCGACGCAAAGTACGAGAACGTCGGTTGAACACAGCTACCAGTTTCTCGGTTCTTTTTCCGGAGTGTTCTCTCGAAAAAAATTTGTTTTCAGGACATTATTGCCGGAAAATTTAGAAAGATGCAAGAGGAACGAATTTCTGAAGAAGCTTTAAACGTACATCCACAGGTAAATAAATTATATAATACACATTAAATAATGTTACATTGATAAATAAATAGAACAAATATATATATATATATATATATCTGTATACATAATATGTACATGCATAATTGAAAATGTCAGTTTTTAATACTAATAAATTATAGAAAACCTCTCGTTTGGCTGTCGCTTGTCTAAACTTTCCGACAATAGTACAGTCCTGGATATGACGAGGTTTAAATGATATGAGAAATATTCTTGTCATCTCGTTTTCAAGGAGAAAGATCGATTTTAGAATATGTCGGCAAGGTTGCTCGGCACCCCGATGACTTCCCAGATAGTGGCCGCTAATCGCCGCGAGTGTTCCAGAACGCAGGTTGACGTTGCCAAGCCCAAGTGCACGCAATACAGCTCGTGGATACGAACTTTACTAGGCGAGACTTTGGGGAAGCAAGTCTCGGTTAATTTCCTGTGCAAAGAAAAACAAGGAAAGACATATATGTATTTACTTGGTTTGTCGTTCCATATTAATTTCTCACATTGAGACATATTTTTTCCTTTATATTTTTCATTAGTGTGTGTGTGTGTGTGTAACATGAATATTTTTTGACGTACACACACACATATACATCACTTCAGGCCTATTTTGCAGAAGGGTGGTGACTTCTTCCATATGCGTACTGTGATGCGCACACTGATTATACACACAAGTATATAGGATTTACAGCCACCAGTTCCGAACAGCAAATTTTTTAGAGAGGCGTTCATAACAAACATACTTTCGGTAAGTTGCCGAAAGTTCCTTTCCGAGCGGAGATACGAGCGTAAATATTTTGGCTTCTACCGGGATGGAATACCGCTCTGACATAATAGCACTGTCTTTTATGCCACGCTCGCGCTCATACATATATGTGTGCGTGTGACACTTGTAACTTAACTCTAAATTACTCTTGTTCCACTAACATACAACACTTGTATAAATTGCTGCTTATAATACAATACCTGTAATAATCTCCGCATAATATACCGGGCACCGGGAAATTCTTCATTACATGGTTGAGGTAAACTTTACACTTTGGTGGTGACCATCCCTATAAAAAGAAACTCACCTGCATACACGTTGTATATTCATAGTATTTACGTGAAATACCTGTATAAGAAACCGAAGCGAATATTTCAAAAAGAGCGATAGTTGTAAAGAAGGATTGCGCGAGAAAAGATAAATTACGACATTAAAAAACGCCGGTACAGTAGAAACGTCTCCAAGTAAAACATACCGAACTGTCCTCAAACCACAAGAAGTAAGAATAATTGAAAATGGTATCCTTCCACATAACTGACAGATGGCCCTCTTGCAAATGTATTCTGCTTTGCTCGACCATGTCCCAAATCTGAAAAGTAAGAAAACCTTGCAAGAATCGTAGAATCACACACATTCTTCAATTTCTTTGGTATATTTTAGAAGATACAACGGCACTTTAATGTCTCTTTCTCTCTCTCTCTCTTTCACCATTAAGATATATCTTGAATATCCTTAGTAACTCCTTGAGCAATTTTCGTTGTTTTTATTGGGAATTTATTCTCACCTTTTTCGTCGTGAGGGCGAGAGTTTCCGGACTGGTAAAGTCCAATGTGGGCGCTACAAGCCTGTGAGTCGTCCTGTCGATGTAAATGAAATGCACCAGACCAGGGAACTCCTCGAGATACTTGTTGATAGTTAGGGAAGTTGTCGTAAAACAAAGCACATTAAGGAGGCATATTAAGTTACACATTCGTAAATTAAATAAAGATCGGCACGGCATTCCTGTTAGGAAAAAAATTACCGACTAGCATATTTTTAACTTTAGTCGCAAAAGGATATGATCCCAACGTGAAATTTTTCAACGCCTTAACCTTCAAGAAATCGTTAAAATCGTTGAGTTTCTGCCGGACGAGCCTCCCGACTGTCGTGAGAACGTCTAAACCATGTTTCAAGAAGTTCCTGTCAAAGCAAGTTAATCGCAATAATTCCCTCAGTGTCTCCGCGAGACCGGAAGTGTTGGCTTCAATTTGCAAGACCGCTTCGGGATCACGGGTGCGCAGCAGATCGCCGTATTTCCGTCTTAAGAAATCCCACTTGGTCTGCAATCGTTTCTGACACATGTCCACGTCGTTGCCGATATTAGAACGATTCTTCCTAATTCCCTCCAACAGCTTCTTAATCGCTGTATCCAAATTGTCGACAGCTGATTTAAGCTCGTCCAAGTCCCGCTGCAGCTGTAGGCTACTCGCAAGATTTAAATAGCGGAAACTGTCGCACAATCCGGACGAAGTGGCTACGTTTGTCGACTCGACAATCGTTATCAGATGAACAGAGTCTGATAACTCAAACACGTGAACCGCGTTGGCCGTGTGATCGTGCTGACCGCCGAGCAACAACGACTGGCTATAGAGACCGTCGTCGGACAAGGATGACAAACCCTCGATAATGGAAGATTCTCGGGAGCCTCCTATAACGAAACGACTGTGAAACCCGCCAAGTTTTGTGAGAAACGAACCTACCGAAAAGATCCGTAATATCCTCCGAAGTGGGATTGGCTAACTTGGCCCCGAATGTTGGTTTGGTCTTTTCGTTTCTGCAATGGGGCTGCTCCTCCGATCGATCGTTTCGCTTGTTATTCACCACCCAGCACAGCAAAATGATCAACAAGATATCCGAGGCGCATAGATCGTGAGCATGTTTGCTAGAGTACAGCGACAAGAACTTGGCGCCTACGAGAATCAACATATGCAGGTTGGCGAACTGTGTTCTCAGCTTGTCGCAGGCATCGTGCAGAACTTTGAGAATCGAGGAAGCGACTTCCGAATTAACGGACAGCTGCTCCACTGCCTCCGTCAATACACTCTGTTCGTTGTCTCTCAAATGACACCAAGCATCCAGCAGCGAGGATACCAGACAGGCCTTCTGCCGGTTGGTCCTCAATCTGTAAAAGAATGCGAGTGTATAGCATTTATCTTGCATTTATTCGGTAAATACTAACACCATAATATCCGGACCACAGACGTGTCTCACAATGGACACGCATACTCCCGCTGTACGCCTCATCAGCTCTATCTCCTCCGTCGCAATGTACACAAAGGTATAACCGATGTACTCGTCGAACACCATATTGGTGCCATCCTGACACTTCATAGAGGTATAGGAATTACCAAATTGCGAGGTCATTACACGTTGAGAGGTAACGATAGGTGAGAACAGTTGCATCATCACATTGGGACTGGGCGTTGAATCTTTTGTATCCTGGCAGATGGGAGTGTACGATTACCTGACTATCATCAAAACGATCTTAAATATTTGACAGAATTAATACGATTGCGCGAAATTTTGCGTTCGAACGAAAGCTGATTTAGCTGCGGCGCTATTTCAGCGCTGATTCGCTTGCTATCAAACCTCATTCTCGAGAAGCCCTTGCATCTCCGCCAATTTCCGGATGTGGTCCGCGAACTCTTTGTCGCATTTTGTAAACAACACGTCATTGAGCTGGTTAAATATCAGCACGCCTCTCATCTCGATCCAAATCGCTCGATTCCACCGCGTTCTCACGACATAACCACACTCATCGGATCGTTAGACTCTACTCCTATTGATTGTTTATACTCGAGAACAGCCAAGTCTGCGGCGCTACTAGTGTCGCTGGATAACTAATAATCACCTTAAACTGTATTACCAGCAGTTTGTACCATCCGATCATTGTCGGTAAAACCACAATTTCATATCTCTGTATGAAATTTGTATAATCTCACCCAACTATATACTACAGGATGAAAGCCATTATAATAATAGTGAATAATAATGGGGAGATTTTGAAGAATAACGTTTTTTCAGATACGGCGAATTGCTTATTCACTGTCAGTATACCAGTTTGTACCTATAGATTTCAAGTGAATACCGCATTTTACCGCGGAAACGTTATTCTAAAAACTCTCTGATAAATAATAAATTCAATACATCACGTGATGATATGCCACATTCTTACAATTGCCGTCGATAATTATTAATATCGCATGGTAAAACACTTATTCACCCTGTATGTGAACATACTGCCATAGAGATATAAGAACAGAGGGAACAAGCCTGTAAGGGGAAGTGATAGAGGCAAAGAGAGAGATGGATGCCGAGTGTCCTATCTGCCTCTTTCTAGTTGAGCGCTGTGATTGGTTGTTACAATGAGCCGCCAAGACGACCACGCGACGTCAGGAGGGGAGAAAGCAGACTAAAATTTCGTTTTGTAAATATACGTGCACATGTGTGTAGAATTAAAATTCGTTAAATATTCGAACGTTAACAAAATAATAATTGGACGCGATTTGATTAAAAATGAGGCATTGTTTGAAATGCAAGGCGGAGTTTTATCCTGGATGTAACCGCAGTTTTCACTCGTAAGAAAGTACAAATACGTAATCTCAAATAATTATATGTTATTTTTTCCTACATTTAAAAAAATATGTAAATGTTGTAGGCTACCGAAGGATGTAAATATAAGGCGTAAATGGTTGAATATACTTCAACTAACTTTGTATTTTGAAGTGAAAACAGCATATATTTGCAGTGATCATTTTAGCAATGACAGTTTCTTTGAATTGGATGGAGAAAAATATATAGCTATATCGTCGTTGGCGCGGCAGCCAATCCCAGCGCGTGACTAGAAAGAGACAGATAGGACACTCGGCATCCATCTCTCTCTTTGCCTCTATCACTTCCACTTACAGGTAGCATATATCCCTTGTTCCCTCTATTCTTATATCTCTATGCATACTGCAGAGTTGTTCAAAATTATCGCATTTATCCAGCCTTGAATTCTTGACGAATAAACGAGCTATTTTTTCTCTTCTATGTGTGGTTACCGATGGACGTTTGCGGGAGAACTTGTTTTCGAAAACAAGTTTTACGCGACGCATGTCAATCGAGAAAAGGACGAAAAGACCGTATTGAAAAGCAGGTGTAAAAAAAATTAATGTTTCTCTCTCAACTAATCCTCGCGCGAGCATTTCTTTTACACGATAAATATAATTTTTTCTCATCACACAAAAACTCGAAATTGTCCGTTTTCTGTCGAATTTATGAAGAAAAGAAAACGTTGTCAGAAGTGGGATTCGAACCCACGCCCACAGAAGTGGACTGCGACCTGAACGCAGCGCCTTAGACCGCTCGGCCATCCTGACGATGTGTTGCCATCTGCTTGTTGACTCTCAAGAACTTGCCTCTATATACACGATTGCACACACTTTTGAAGCTAGTTACCTCATCTATCGTGACTATGTACTGCCACGTTTGCCTCTGGCTGCGAAACTGTTGCGAAATTTTCGGTTGGTCCTTGAATCGTTCTTAAACCTTCGTTCTTGTCTACTCTCTTGAGTTTGGAAATTTATGAATGACACGATAAAAATAGAGAATGTGCGCGACGACAAGTAGTAAAGCAAAGTAATTGTCAAAGGAAATGAAATGCGCGCGCAAACGACCTCTTCTGTTCGCCTAAAATACTCCACGCGCCGTGCACCTACTGTAACGAAAGAGACGTGTGTATACATTCAAACTCAGTTGTATTTGTGTCGGCGCACGAGTGATGTAAGCTCGTGATTTCGAGAGAGTCGTGAACTTGCCCGTCGCTGAAAGACACCCGATCGATCTCTCTCGCTCGTTATTTTCTTTCCTGTGGACCATGATCGAGGTGGCCTACGTCGACGAAAAGTGGGAGCACATTGACCGCTCGGTGAGTCGATTTTTCGCCCCTCCCTCTGCGACGAAATTTTGCGAGCCGTTGAGGCCGTTTGAGAAAGTTTCTCAGTTTTACTATAAAACAGTATATGAGGAAGATCGAGGCCGCTCTTGTTGTTAACACGGACGGCAACATCGTTGCAAAAATGCATTTGCCTTCTTATTTACATGTATTACTATATAGGAAAGCAACGAGGCAAACTATCGTAAATAGATCGTTGTGCACGCGAAAATATGAGATCGCACATAATAGAGAGATTGAATCGAATCTCACTTTTCTTAGGCTATTAAAATATTTAAAGCATACATCTATGAGGGTGACGCAGGCAATTAAAGTCAATGCGAAAAGGTCCTTTTACTACATTCTGCAAACAACCACGCAAAATTTCGTGAAAATACATATGTAGTGGATTCCTGAATTGATAAAAATTTGCGTGTTATTTGCAAAATGGACTTTTTTGAGTTCAGAGAATGAGTCCTCGAAATTTTGCTTGGTTCTTTGAAACATGCTAGAGAATTGTTTATTCACATTAACCTAAACAACAACCAGACTCCTTTATTTCTGTGCGTAAAAATAGATCTCAAGAATTATGTGGGGAATATCTGTTTGGTTGAATATATGTAAGTAATCACATGTATGCGACTACACGCATTCGACCGATCGGGAGCGATTTCTGTACACACGTTCTGATATATTTCGGCCGAATTAGAAATCTGGTTGGATGTCTCGGCAATAACCGAATGATTCATCGGAATTACCGAGTATATTGTAGAAGAAAACTGTGTAATTCGCTCCTTACGTCATTCGCGTGACGAAATAATACACGCGGTTCAATTCCGACAGGATCCTATCTGTTTGCCTCTAAGACAGCGATAACCGCAAACACGATTTCCGGAAAGGAGATCGGCTCTCGAGGGCGGTCGTATTATCTAATCTCTGAGAAGAAAAATTACCGTTTATAATCGGGAGATATTTATTTAGTACTCAATCTTTGATCAATTTCAACCTACCAGCGAGATTATTCTTCCACCGCGTATGGTACTTTTACACTGAAACAAATTGTAAATGACTATTTTGAAGTGAATATAAATAATGTAATTATCGTCGCGCATGTATAAATTTTCAAGTACTTTCAGCGCAGCTGAATCATCAATGTCGAGATTATTTTAATCGTTCCAAGATCAATCGTCTCCTTTCCTCTCGTTTCTAAAGCGCCTTATCAACAGCAACTATAAAGATAACGACAGGTTAGAACAAACAAACCATTTTATTAGTGCCCACGCAGTTAAACCGCTTGTTTTTGTGCTGGACCGATTGCTGCGTTCTGATTGGTGCGTCTTCGAAAATGGATCAGATCACATGGTATTTCTAACAATCCAGCAGGGAAACAAGTGGGCTTTAGTTTCATTAATACGAGTTTAAAGAACGGGTATGAAATTAATACGCTTCGCTTTTTTCGGAAGTATCGTTGTATCTCAATTTAAAAACATCAGAGAATTTCGAGGCAAGATTTAGAATTTGGATATTCCCCTTAGTCCCGATCTGCAAGAAAAGGATTTGAAATCTTACGAAATTCACCAATCACAGTCGATTATTTTTTCTCACATTCGATTGGTCAATTTCTTGAAACACTGTGCCGAATCATCGGGTCGCAATCTCTCCTCGATTCTTTGACAAATTCAGCGCGTTTCCAATAACGATTTGAAATCGTTGAAAAGTGTAAATACGGAGACTTTGCCCCATATCGACACTTTTCGGGAGCGATTTCTCAGGTGGCGCTCCGACCTATATGTCGGTGAAAATTATTCCGCAAGAATTTCGATGCGCCATAATATCGGACAGTTTACTCGGGCGAGGACGGCCGAGGATCCAATATCAGTTTCGCGAAGAGAGAAAGGCAAAGAATAGAGAATACACACCGCCTGAATAGTAGTGAGCGAGGGCCAAGGTCGCGACGGGATGAAAACGAAGAATAGTTGTTGTTTAGTCTCGTGGTTTAACAAGATATGCTGCAGCAAGGAAAAAGCGCGGAAGCACGAAGATACTCGTTCGACAGCCGAGGTAAGACTTTTGCGCAAGGGGTGTATCGAGAAAGGGGTGTTATTATTGACTGCGAGAGATCTGTAGAGAGTTTCAGACCAATATCTTTTCGAACAGAGTAGTTTCTCACTTGCTCGGATCTTTACGAGGTCTTCAGTCCAAAGTTATTAATTCCGATGGAGAGAAGTATCGATGCGTGTTGGCAACGATCGATCGAATCGCTCGAGATCGACGATCGACCGAGAGATGTCTTTTATGACTCGAGATTATTTCGCAAACGAATTAATCTGACACGGGGTTAACTCAGACGCATTGCTGTCCCCCCGCATTGCGCAACGCGATGAGAAATTTGTCAAAGAGAATATTTACTTCTCGCGAGTAGCATGGAGTACGTTCCCGGGGCAAATCTGGTAACTTTCACACAATCATCCATCTGTCGCGCTGAGAAAATTATATATGAAAGAAAGAAAACGACCGATCGTGACTAATGTTCCGTTTCAGCCGGTCACGGTGCTCGTTCGCAGACCTTGCTGCAACGAAGCGGAGATGTGCACTCCGAAAGTCTCTGAACAGGCAACCCTTTTCACTGCGTTTCAAGTTAGATTAGATTAGAACGATAGAATGTTTATCGGAGAAAAGTAAAATGGTCGATTCCTTATCGATTATTTTAATATCAATTATTCGCGTAGCTGAAACGAAGACAGGTTTGACCTTGGCCATTAGCCGCGCCGTAACCTCATTGGCAGCGTTATATTGCTATGCGCGCGTTTCTTCTTTTTACATCGTCCGGGTGTTGCATAATGTCCGTCCGCTGAATCCTACGTTTACCTCACACGATTGCGCAACGTTCGGCTTTTTATTATTTGCGCGGAAATTTTTCCAGATTCAAGTTCCACTCGTCGAATACAATTGTCTCTCATTGACGATCCGCCAAATCTCTCTGAGAATCTGTGACGCGAACTTTGCATTACAGGAGGGAAAAAGTACTCTTAACACCGCCGAGTGACTTGGACTTTGCACTCGATGAGCTGTCTCTGAATGAAGCCGCGATCGATAAGATAGCGAAAGTCCGTTCAATTGATGCAATTTCGTTTCCGCGCATTTATCCGGTTGTAGTAACACATACTCCGAAGAATGATGAACGACGGTGTTGCACGCGGGGGGAAGGTGCTGAAAAACTCGACCGTATGCAACGGGGAAGAAGATTATCCTCTCGATGCGTTTTTTTTTTGGATCGCTCGGTTCGTCATCGCAATCAAATAGTGGCAAAGTACGGGACTTTTAAAGCGTGACGCAACATACCGACGGGTTGAATGAGAGAGCGAAAGTCGGGCCGCGATTGGTCGCGAGTCCGAGGGCTCGCCCGGTCGATCCTCTCCGCGCCGATGACGTCACGACTAGCAAGTATCGATCAAAGGGACGGAACGCTTTCTGGGAAACTGATGAATTCTCGGGAAAAGAGGAAACAAAATTATCTAACAGCATTCACTTGCCAACGAAGGTTGTAAATGCAAAGGAATCTGTCGAGAATCAAGATTGACACAGACGTGCGTGGAATATAAGACGAGGGATTTCCCGAAGAGTGTGAAATGGGGGAGAGAAGAAACGGGTCCATCACTGATTGCCTCCTCCATGGCCTCCTTTCGCCCCACTCGTTCCTTCCAGCAGAACCGCCGGGGAACGTCGGCGCCGACGTGTCCAGCCAGTCGCGATACGAAGCTCGCGTAGTTGTCGACGAACGTGTGTAACGTTTTTTTTCCTCCCGACAAAGTCGCGCGCCATCGATCCGCTATTTATCCACCGGTCGCTCCAAACGGCAATCACGAAGCTACTCGAGGGTTCCGGTTACGACGAGGGGTGGGCCATGAAAACATCCACACTGTCGTCTAGTGACTTGATCAAACAGGAGGTGAGCGGAAGAGAACGTGTATTCCTGCCGAATGTGTCGCGACGCGATGTATATTTCATTTGGATGAGGTTAGGTCGCCGGACATGCAATCGGAGGAACGTATTTTTACAATTGTTTCAAAAATTTACAGCCGATCTGGTGGATTCGAGAGGTTAGACAAGATTGGGAGCAAGAAAGGGAATGTTTAGGAAACGTTGGACTCGCGATCAACTGTTCGGGTTTGCTTCTGAAATGTCGAAAGGATAAAATGTTACGTGCGCGCGCGCACGTATGTCGCTTCTTACGGGATGTCAAGGTCATCGTGATTTTGCTCACTGAAACCACGTGTTTCTTCTCGCATATCAATTAATCCCTCTCGAGATACTTTTCGCAACAAGTATCGACAAGCGTTTTTAAACGTCGGAGGAACAAAGTGAGATGAATATTAAAGAGAATTAATCTTTTTTAAACGATGCGTCAGGAATGCGATAACGAAACGACCGTATTGACTGAGAACCGTTGCGTGGCTGATAAGAGAACAAGACAGGTGATAACCTTAATAGCGATCCGCACATATATATTTGTGGTTTTAATTTAAATAAAAAGCTGAGGATGTGTATACCATTCGAACGGCGATATAATTAAATGTTATAAACATTGAATAAGTAAGGGTGTGTGCGGCTCAACGTGAGATAATTTGTTCGCGAAAATAATTTCTCTTCGCGCGACCGTCTGANCCCCCCCCCCCCCCGACTGCTGCCATTCATTCGGCCGGGTGTGTCGACGAGAAATATGACGATGGATCTCGCTAGAGTCGTATATTGCACGCGAGTAGTTGCATCGTTACGTAACCGACCAGTTTGAAAAATATCGCGGACTATTGTACTGCGAGAGAACACGACGCTTCGATATATTCCCCGATAGGGGAAAACATTTATGACGAAATCTTGAATGAAATTTGTGGGTGAGTATTCGATTAGATAGAAATATTGATCTATCGTTCTACTGATTTGTGCGCATTTCTAATTATTATTTCGACGAAACAGATCATAGCAGCGAATCATCGCGGCGGGTTCATTTGCGGAATTAAATTTGAAAAGAAATAACTAAGAAGAATATTCCGACTATGTCGCGCTATTTAAAACAGAAATATAATTTTGAACGAATGAAGTACGATAAGAATACACACGATTATTCTGAAAAATTAGAATTTAGAAGTAATGTCATAATCAAAAGATAGATAAAGTTTACTCGCACATGCTGTTCGGTCGAGAACATTTAGTCAATTCAACAAATAGTATTTAAAATATTCTGTCCGCAAAATATTACTGAAAATGTGATCGCTGTGAGAAATGTCGTACAATGTGAAAGAAATATATATTGAATTGATTTTGGGGGGATATAATTTTTATTCAGACACAACCGTTGCGACGAAATCATTGGATTACTTTGTTGCGCTTTTGAACTCGTTGAAAACTAGAAACTGTGAAACACGAATGATTCCGCCCGATCGAAAGTTATTAACGTCGAAACATTTGTACACGCAGATACGAGATGCCTGCAAGGACCTCGTGCTGTCCGACGAGCAACTCGAATTGGTGATGCAAAAGTTCACCGACGAGATCAACCGAGGCCTGTCCAGAGAGACTCACTCAGATGCGATCGTCAAGTGTTTCACCACGTACGTGCAGGATCTGCCGGACGGCACCGGTAAGCGAAAGAAATGAACGCCACTTTAACGCCATGTATGTAAACACGTATGTACACACCGATGTAGAGAAGGGCAACTTCTTGGCACTGGACCTCGGTGGCACGAATTTCCGGGTGCTGTTGATCACGTTGGACGGTCAGAACTTTGACATGAAGAGCAAGATTTACGCGATACCTCAGAGCCTGATGCTGGGCACGGGGATTCAGCTGTTCGATCACATCGCCCAGTGCCTAGCGTTGTTCGTGAATGATCTGAATCTGCAGAACGAGGTGTTGCCGCTGGGCTTCACTTTCAGCTTTCCCCTCGCCCAGCACGGGCTGACGAGAGGCAATCTGGTGAGGTGGACCAAGGGCTTCAACTGCAGCGGCGTGATCGGCGAGAACGTGGTCGCGCTTCTCGAAGAAGCGATCGACCGAAGAAACGTGAGTAAAGCCAAGCCGTACTTTCTCTGATCCGGCCGTAACTGTATTATGCCCGCCCAGGACGTCAAGATCGACGTGTGCGCGATCCTGAATGACACCACCGGCACTCTGATGTCGTGTGCCTGGAAGAATCGAAACTGTCGGATCGGCCTGATCGTAGGTACCGGGAGTAACGCCTGCTACGTCGAGAAAACGAAGAACGTGGAATGCGCGATCCCGGGCAATTACGCCGCGCACAAGCCGGACATGCTGATCAACACGGAATGGGGTGCTTTCGGCGAGGGCGGTGCGCTGGATTTCGTGACGACCGAGTTTGACCGTGCCATCGACGAAAACTCCATCAATCCCACGAAGCAGCTGTTTGAGAAGATGATTTCGGGCATGTACATGGGTGAACTGACGAGACTGGTCCTCGAGAAGCTGGTCAACGCCGGTCTCCTCTTCGGCGGCAAATGTCCCAGTGACCTCAGAAAACGTGGCAAGTTCTTCACGAAATACGTCTCCGAAATCGAGAAGTGAGTATCGACGAGCGAGACTCATTGGGCGAGAAATGTGTGGGTCGCGAATTTCAGTGATCCCAAGGGCAAGTATACGAATTGCCGCGATGTCCTGGCCGAATTGGGACTGCGGAACGTGAGTGACCGAGACTGCGAGAACGTGAGGTACGTGTGCTCGGTGGTGTCGAGACGGGCGGCGCACTTGGTCAGCGCGGGAATCGCGGCGCTCCTCAATAAGATGGCCGAGAATGACGTTACGGTGGGCATCGACGGCTCGGTCTATCGCTACCACCCGCATTTTCACGATCTCATGATGGCCAAGATCGGCGAGCTCCAAAAGTACAAGGTGAGAACGGGCAGTGTGGGAATAACAACGCGACTTTCGCTCTTACGCTTCTTCTTTTCGTTCGACAGTTCGACCTGATGCTCTCGGAGGACGGCAGCGGCCGTGGTGCGGCACTCGTCGCCGCGGTGGCGTCGCAGAACCGGTGAAGGCGATCAAGCAACGGAAAACAAACGGCGCCAGTGAACTCTGTCTCGCGTTTTCCGACCAATTTCCACCTGTGACACGCGTGTAAACTTTCTTCTCTCTTTCCTACACAGGCTTTCTTACATTTTATACGAAAGATTATTTTATTATGACGGCTGACGACGAGGCTCGCCTTAAGCTCGATAATATTTATCGGGACGGAGTTCACTGGAGAGAACCGATTTGCGCGCGAGTGAGCGATCGAGTGAAACGAACGAGTCGAGTGAGAAGAGCGACGAGAGAAATTACGAGTCCTCTGTTCGTTTCAGCTAAATATTTTCCCCTCACTTGTTTGTCCTATTCCCGACTTGATCCCCTCTTCCATTCTTGATCTAAAAGCGCGAATGACTGATGATGNTGAAAAAAAAAAAAAGGGGGGGGGGGGGGGAAGAGAGATCTAGGAACGAGAGCTTCTGTATGTGTTCTATAAAACAGATATTAAAAAGCATACGCAGGGGATTCTATGTAACTGTATTTTCTACGATCAATAAAAAAATACAATCAATCCCTCTCGAGCGATGCTTGGAATGATTTCAATCAGTAAGACAGTTACGTGGGACACTCTGCGTATGCATTTCGTTTCAAAAGTGACCATCCGACAAAAATGGGAAAAAAATGTGGTTCTTTTTACCGACGATTTTACTCGATGCCAAACTAGGGCGGCGCCTTTGCTATTTTGTTTCATGGCCCGAAAGTAAAACGAATGCTAAGACTGCCGCGACGAATATTTCCTGTATATAGAGCACAAAGAAGAGTTAGTGAATATATACACTTAGTGAATGTTCCTATGAGAGAAGGTAGACATCCTTTCTGAACACGATAACCGTGGATTTCGCCCATCTACTTATCTCATAGTATTATCTACGTCAGTCTCGTGCAAAGAGGACACGGAAGAAATTTGGCCGTGTGAATTGACATGTAGAATCATTAGCTAGAAAGACGACCGGATATCGCGCGCAATTGGAGTCACTGTACATATAAATTAATCATTTAATTATTTTTCACATCGAGTTAACAAATAAAAATATTTGAAAAGTTGAAAAGCGACAGGTTGTCGGCTGCGTCAATTGTTAATTATTGATAGAAAAACAACGGATGCATCAAATCGACGAAATCAATAGACATGCTTGAGATCGAAACGAATGACGAAGAATCGATAGAGAATAAATGCCTTGGACGTTATTATTATAATAGTTGAACCATCTATATTAGACAAACATCATCCAAGTAAGTCGGAACTTTTTTTTACACACTAAGGACATAAAAGTAATAAAATGTTGTTATCGTATGTACACGTTGTAATGGAAGAAACTTATAAATCGACCTTATCTTTTTTGTAAAATAAAGATTCGCCTTTTATAATCAGCTACCACTTTTTACTTTGTAGCATTGGCGACTCGAACCTAAATGACAATATCGTCAGTCCATTGTCGTGGAATTAGACTTTTGTTTTTATTCGAACTTTTCAAATGTATGTCCTTTCCGCTAAAAGTGGTTCTGTGCTTTGCTGAGTAAAACAACACTTTCTTCCCGTCGGAGTCTCGCGTTTCGATTTTCTGCCACTGAATCAACGGAGGCGCGTTTGGTGGCCGCTCGTTCGATCATGAAAATCGCTTCGAGATGAGCGAATCGGTCGTTTGCAGCGAGTTCACGGCAGCGCTGGTGGTTGTTGCTCGTCCTTCCAGCCGGTAGGATTTGCGATAGAGGCGATGAGGCAAGTCGGAGCGACGATCTCGCGAGTTCGCCGCGAATGAGAGTCTCGCCAACGAGTTAACATGATCAGCGGCATTCAGGCCGCCTTGAAAAATGCCATTGACGTGGTAAGTGACGCGCTAATGTGATAACCAAGTGTCCTTCCAGCGACACAACTTTTCCTCGCTACTGAAAAATGTCTAGATGATAATTCTCAAGGCAAAATTATCGGTCGCTTAGGAATAACGTAAAGAACTTATGACTGATGTTTCCAGATAGCGCCGCCGGCAACGCCGTTGCAGGACTTCACCTATCACTGGAAGCAGTTGATGAATTTTTATGTGAGTCATTTGACCGATTGCAAAGTTCCTGTGCAGAATACCGGTATACCGCGTCATTTGGACGTGCTGTTGGAAATCTTACTTGAAGAAGAGAAGGAGGAGAATGAGACAGGACCGTGTCTCGAGTACCTTTTGCAGCACAAGCTGCTGGATCTCTTGGCGACTTTGGCCAGTGCGGAGGCGCCGCCTGGCATGCGATTGGTTTGCCTGGCTTTCTTGAGAAAACTACTGGGTAGATCGAAATATCCGTTGCTACATCACGCGTCCATCTATTCGCCGGTACAGCGACTGATCACGCTCTGCAACGGCAATCCACCGTCGCCGATCGAGGCTGAAGAGGTATCGCAACGTTCACTTTCCATCGACTGTTACAAAATGCAAAAATCAAGAATACTTGATTCATAGGTGCAATTTCTGCTGACCATTTCCTTCCTGGTGTGCAAGTATCCGCACGTGAGTAACATCGTCAATGATGTTCCAATCACGCAGATTGCCAGCAACCCGGCGAGGAGAGATAGCGAGCGAACGGAGATTCAAAGGGTGACGTATGTGCCAACGAGAAGAAGAACCAAGTCTAATCCGTTGTTCGAACCTTTGGACACTCAAGCGATCACGTTGGTGAGCCCGAACCCCCTGTTTGACCAAAGGAGATCACACCGCGCCGCTCTGCACGGCGGACGATCGAACGATTCTTCGAGGGAGGAGAGCGTGTCGTCGAGCCCTCGAAAATCGGCTTGCGATTCGCCGTCGATAGTCGGGAGGGACGAGAAAGATGTTCCGGGAAACGAAATCGACCAACACTTGAGGAACCTGCGCTTGGATAACGACGACGGTGCGAGTTACACCACGGATCTGAGCTTCAAGTCATCGTCGAAATGTCTTTTATTGGATGCCCTGATGAGTTATTTGAACAGCGCGGTACGATCTCTCTCTCTCTCTCTCTCTCTCTCGTTGCATAAGTTGTGTTACATAAATGATCACTCCTCAGGACAACACGGTAAGGGTACGGGCGTGCGAGGGAATAATGGCCCTGGCTTCCCTGGATGATTCCGCATTCGCGCAGACAGTGGCCAACAGCGAACTGTCGTTGATAGTGTCGCATCGACTGGAGAGTCTGTTCAACGCGATCCCGGCGCATGTGGATCACTTGGAGATCTACAACGTGGATGTCACCTGGGGTCTCGATTCGCCGTTATGGACCAAGGAAAGCAAGTTCTCGGGCTGTCGGCAGGTTGCGGCGTTCTTTATGTGGTTCGACTACTGCGACCAGCTAATCAGGGAGGCCCGAACGGAGGTCGCCGAGACGCTGGCGAGGAACATCAGGCTGATGTTCTTCGACGGGGTAGTGACGGCCGCGCTCGCAAACCATCACGTCGTACTTATCACCGCACTCGTCGCCAAGTGCTTGAAGGAGATCACCTCCTCCGTATTGTGCACAGGTAAACTTTCTTCAAAAGCGCGAAATTCTTTCGCTAAATACTCCTTGATATATTCTCCCAGAGTCGGATGATTTCAGAGGTGAGTTATTGGCTGGTCGGGCAGGACAGAGAGGCGGAAATATCGCACGTGTGGACGTCGCCGGTGTTGCATCGACTCACGGAGAACTGTTTCACGGACAGTAACGACCTCACGGTCGAGACGCTCAAGCTGTTCGAAGAGGCGATAGACAAGAGAAACGAGCATATATTGCACTGTCTACTGCTAATGTACCTGTCTACACGAGCGTACTACGACAACACCGCTGCCGACAGCGCTATCGCCTCGTGGAGCGACGAGGAGGACGAAAGAGAAAAGGAGAAGAAGGGATCGTTGGATCTCTCTTACGAGCAAAATCACAGTCGTACTTTAGCACCGAGTAATATCCATAGAGTCGTCAATTGGTAGGTGTTAGGGAATATGAGGCGATTTTTTCACAACGGATGCATATTCATCCGCTCTTTTTCAGTTTTCTGTCATTGATGCCGCGGTATCTGCAAACGGACTCGGACACAAACAACTACGACAAGTATATGTCGGCTTGGGAGCGTCAGTATTCGTCGGTGCTCTCCGATTGCGCCCTGATGGCATGGCCGTTGGAAGCAGTGATGGTCGACGATACCGCGAGTTCCGACTCGCGACCGGAAGCCGATCACTGCTCGCTCGCCACCGATCGTTTCTACGTGGGACCGTTCCTCAGCATGCTGTTCGACAAAGTCGGTAACATGCCCAGACAGACGTACGAGGTCAATCTGGAGGTTACGGGATTGCTCTCCAGGTAGTGACGATTTCGAAATCCACAGCTCGAAAACTTTTTACGAGATCTCTTTGGGAATCCTTATGATGTGTGTATCGCGACAATCTCTCTTTCGAAACTTTCTGCAGACTTTTCATTCTTACTTTTACCCGTAAAATGTTCGAAAATTGACTTTTCTCCTCAATTGATTCATCCTGAGCGCGACATCTCTAGGCTGGCGCTACTGCCGCACCCGTATTTACACGAATTCCTGCTGAATCCCTTACTACCGCTGATACCCGGCACGAAGAGTCTGTTCCTGTGCCTACAAAGAGTCGTCAAGCAGCTCGTCGGCGAGGTACCGAAAACTCAGGAAAGCAAGGCAAGGTTGAAAGAGACGAGGAAGAGATTGCTGAGTGATTGTTCTCAGGAGGAGTGAGTGGAATTTCGAAGATATCATTTTCTTGGCATATATCACAAACCTGTGTAGAAACAATTATGAAGAACAGAAAGGAGTAAAAAATCCATATTGCGCGTAATTTCATTTTTTTTTTTTTTTGCGCTAAAATGTTATTTCTTTTTATACCATAGTGTAAGCTTTTCAAGCTCCGTGGCACACTTGTCGTGAATCGAACAATTTTTCCAAATTCAATGTTGAAAATTCGTAAAGTATATTATGTTACTTACGTGTCACGATATTTGCGTTTCAGGGAAAAAGAGGACATTTTGTACGAGAGTGTCATTGTGACGGAAGAGTTTTGCAAAGACCTCGCAGCCATAGCGTATATGAAATACCACCATTCTGTCTAATAAATTTCTACATATGGAGAAACTTGTGAATTACAAAATGTTGATATAATATTCGTCGAAGGTGCGCACATTCTATTCGTCACTTGGAATAGATAATAAATCATACTTGTGATGACTTTGTAAGATATTAAGTATTAGGCGAATACATTAAAATATCATTGCTAACAGACGTGTGGAATCGTTGCTGTATCTTCTATAAAAAGAAAAAAAAAGAAACAAAAATATACCGAGAAATCATACATGATGTTTACATTCTTCGAAAGTTGATCTCCACAAATTACCGTCGGATATTTTTCACAAAAAGTTATGTGTAATGTTGAAGTAAAAAAAATCCTGTCTCTCTAATTGCTAGTTAGAATTCATAAGAAATAAATTGAGAATGGTAATGAAGAAACAATAAATATACGTATTCATCAAGCCCGTTATTTACTTCAGAATTGGATCCACTTGACGCTGCAAATGCTTCGAAGCGCCGTGGGATAAAAATCATCGATGTTTGAAAAATTACGAATACTTGCCGTGAAATTGTACCTTTTTGGAATACAGCCCGATTCTTCTGCGCAACTATAGTTGTTCGGAAAGTAATTTCGTTTTTTGTGGTGAAAATGAAAGACGATCTTCGTATAATGAATAAATATTTAATTAAATTATATATTGGCCATTCTGATCCAACACCTTTTGCCATCTTTCTGGTAGTAGCATGATTTTACGCTCATAAAATTTTTGGTCTTTGCTGGCAAAAAACTGATCCAGGTGATTTTTGACGTGTTCATTTGAGGTAAAGGTTTTACCGTCCAAAAAATTTTGCAGTGACCGGAACAAATAATAATCCGAAGGGGCCAGGTCTGGAGAATATGGTGGGTGTGGCAGTACATCCCATCCAAGCTGTAAAAGCTTTTGGCGAATGACCAAACTTGTATGAAGTCTCGCATTATCTTGGTGGAACACTACACCTTTTCTGTTGATTAATTCTGGCCTTTTCTGTTGAAGTGCATCATTCAGTTTGTCCAGCTGATGACAGTAGACTTCCGAATTAATTGTTGTGTTATCCGGTAAAAGCTCAAAAAAAGTGACTCCTTTAAAATCCCACCAAACAGACAGCATCACCTTTTTTTGATGGATATCGGCTTTTGAAATGCTTTGAGCCGGTTCATCTTTTCTGCTCCATGATCTCTTGCGTTTGACATTGTTATATACAACCCATTTTTTGTCCCCAGTAATGATGCGCTTCAAAAATGGATCATTTTCGTGACGTTTGAGGAGTGAAGCACAGACGTCAACGCGACGACACAAATTTCTCTCCGTGAGGACATGGGGAACCCATATATCGAGCTTCGAGGTAAAACCGAGGCCTTTCAGGTGGTCATAAACAGTTGAATTCGATAAATTTAACCTCTCACCGATCTCACGTGTTGTTATTCGCCGGTTTGCATCAACTAATGCCTTTATCGCGTCTTTATCAGCTTCAACCGGCCTTCCAGAACGTGATGCATCTTCGACATCAAAATTGCCGGATCGAAATTTTGCAAACCAGTTCTGGCACTGGCGTATTGTCAACACATCTTCTCCATACACATCGCTTAATTTCTTTCTGGCTTGAACAGCATTTTTACCTTTTCTATAGTAAAAAAGTAAAATATGACGAAAATGCTGCTTATTGCTCTCCATATTTAAAAGGGCACCGACCAAAAACTACTGCGTAAAATCAATTGAACTTATTCACACACAAGCCTTGCTATATCAGCTGTCAAAACATATAATGACAATGCGACTTAAGTGTGAAGTTAGCTGTGAAAAAATACAATTAAATCCTCTGTCGGGAAAAAACGAAATTACTTTCCGAACAACCCATAGTTTCAAGCTGGGGTCCACGCTTGAAACGCTTCGGAGCGCCATACGGACCGTAGCAGCATCAAGTGGACCCTAAATTTCCTATACGTTTTCATTTGTTGACCCGACTCGTTCATCGTGCTGATTGGTACATTTTTAGGAATGCACCAATCAGAACGAACGGACCGAGTCGTTCACAGAAACACCATAGATGCTCGAGACTTTAACAATCGCTGTGTCTACGCATTCTCGCAATTTGCTTCGCAATCTTTTCTAAAGGAACAAATTTTCCTATTGGACAGGAAGTAAAAGCTAAATTGTCTCTATAGTGTAGTGTTTGATCATCGCAGTCTTGCTTCCGGGAAGGAGCGGTACGCCACGGTACGCCGAGGAACGCCAAGTAGCGACTCTTCGAAAATGACAGCGGTTGCGATGATTTCGCCGGCGTCACAGGGCATTATCCAGGTGGTGAACGAGAGTAATCTGAGTAAAATTGAGAGGTATTCTTTATTAATTACTCGATCGTAAATGCAGTTATCGCGTCAGAATGGATAACAATGAAAGATAATTATCGATCCGTTTGCAGCTTCCTCAACGACACTGCTTACAGAGAAGCCATTGAGAACTCTTCCAATTACAATAGTCGATTGTGTCGGGAACGACGTCTTCGTATGCCTTTCCTCGACTCGCAGACAGGTAGTTATTGAAATTTTTGAATGCCATACAATAATTATAGAATTAATTGATTTGCATTGGCGCTAATTGCATCAATCATTGATATTTACCGATCGTGTGAATATTGCCTGTGAGAATAAATATTTATCTATGTACGAGGTGAAATCTGTGAGTGACTGCAGAGTACTTTTTCCTCTCCTTCTTTTAAGAAATGTAATTTCATCTGTTTCTTTGCATTCTAGCAGTAATGCCACTGCTGTGTCAGATGCCACATCATTTGATTAAGTTGTAACGGAAGCTTTGACCAATGATAAGGCTCTGATGATCTTGTGTCACACTGTCTCTTTGTAGGTACAAAGAGAGAGGAAATTTTGTCAAAAATGTTAAACTGTGTTAAAAATCTGGTTAACCTATGTAGATGCAAACAAGCTTGGCTAATTCCAAACAAATAATTGATTACACTGACTGTGATCGATACATCATAGGCTACAACAATAAAAAATGAATGCTTTAAAATATACAAGCTTGTGCAATATTACAGGTGTTGCACAGAATCATTCTGCGCTTTTCATGTCCTCGAGAGAAAGATTGCCAGGTTTATTGCACGGTCAAATTTACACCTATCCGAGTAAACGGTGGCGTAAAAAACGACGCCAATATTTAATGCACTATTTACACCCGAAACGAGGACCAAGAGGCGATACGGAGGATGGAGTAGAAGGTGTTGAGACTGTTACCCATGTAAATGACGATAGTAAAGATTCAGTCGCGCTTAAAGGTAAAGAAGAAAAGCTGTAGTTGCATTTCTGTTCAAATGATGTCAGTGAGTTGTTATTAGTGAATAAAAGATAAATGCTTTTAGACGAACACAGTAAAGATGCTTGGTACTACGATGAGCAAGATATGTTGGATATGGATGCATATGAAGAACCTGATCCTGACAGCGATTACGATTACGAGGAGAGCTATAGCAGTAAGAGGAAACGAAGGAAAACTCGCGGAGGTGGCCATCATCCTGCTCGTAGTCATCCACCTTCCACAGATAGCCCTGGAGGTAAACGCACAAAGGTAAGGCAACTCATTGTTTGCACATGACAGATATTTGCAAAATAAAAAGTCGGTATATTCTTGGAAATGATAATGTGTGTACCATTATATACTGATTTGCGCGAGTTTAATGATGTAAAAATAACGAGATTTTATGTAATGTAGGGTGGGGGCCGCGGACGCAAAAAGACCAACTACGACTCTGTTGACTCTGATAAGCCATTCGTTTGTGACCGTAAGTTTAATCATAGATACAACTACAAATGACTACTCCCTGTTATTAGTTAATTATAAATATTATTACCATTATTATTATTATTATTATTACTGTTGTTATTATTATTATTATTATCATTATTATTACGATCATTATTATTATTATTATTACTACTACTTACTACTACTACTACTGCTGCTACTACTACTACTACTACTACTACTACTACTACTACTACTACTACTTTGCACACTTATTATTTCGAGTAAGATAAATGCATATCAGTTTTTTCGTTGCAAAATTTGTTAATTTTATTACACATTTATATATTTATATAATGTTCACTCTACACCATAATACAGAAACTGGATTATGATATTAAGATGGAAGTAACATGGAAGCTCGAAATAAATTGTCAAATATTCAATCGTTGAATACTATTGTGCCAGGCAATATTCGGACAGAAAACGAGTGTTATAACACAATGAAGATGTCTTCTAATCTTTCTGTTTTCGATTTTTACGATATCATTCGTTCAGAGGAAGAAAGAAAAAGACCGATCCGTACTAACTGCAGTTTTCTTTCAAATTCAAGTGATGTATTATTTACGTTTGAGTATAAGAATTTTCTTACACCGCGCTACATATTCTGTTATGTTTTGCTTCCTTTAGTTGACCATGGGTAGTTATGGTATGAGTGCAAGGCAAAGATCATAGTATGTCATATGTTTCAAATACCCAAAACTTTGTGCATAAATAGTATATGTATAAACTTTCTATCAACTCCTCTCAGTTCCTCTTCATATTCATTAGCTGGATTAAAAGCAATTGAAATAAAGGTCTATAAATGATGCAACTTTTTACATGATTACTGTGCTAAAGTCGAGTATCTGGCAGCCTAATTAAGCTCTCTAACATTTTGTCATTCGGCCGAGTACACATCACCATGATTTAAAGAAACTGATAAATTACTACTAACAAGCATATTACGAGTCAGTTAAACGCTTACTTGGCATCCTTAACGTTGAGAAGCATCGCGACACAAAATGTTTGCATCTTTACTAACTTTTGATAAACATTAATTTGCACTCAGTGTGAGATTGTTTACGTGAGGAAAGGCTCACATTTATATACTCGTTATGCGCAAGTTTATGGAATAAAGTAGCATCCAGCGCGAGCAGACGGAAAGATAGAAAGGAAATCGAGATAAATCTTTGGACGATCTGAGTGTTGGAAGGAGTACAATAGCCACTTACTAATTTGATCAGACTTTTCCAGGCGCAAAGTCTGTAAATTAACTCGAATGTGCCTGCAATTTGTTTACTTCTTGAAACCACTCCCGTTAGACTAGCAGAAGATCTAAAGGCATTTGGTCTGGTTGTACGCGTAGCTCGTGTTAAAGGCATAATTTTATGTCAGAGAACGCTCGCAGAACGACGATCCATTGACGATCGAGCTAATGTCACCGGCCCAAATATCTTCGGACTAGTTCTACCTGCCAATAACAGAGCAAGAATGTACTGGCTCACACTGTAGCGAGCTCATTCTGTAGGAGTATACAAGCATCAAGCCTTGCATCGTATTAGTTTTGCTTCTTGGGCTGGAACTCCTTCACTGCTTGTCCACATATAGACTCGTAGGTGGATAGGGATGTGTACGGAAGGTGTGCAAATGCTATCCCCGACCCCTTGTCGGCTTTTCTGTCCCACATTTCCTTGATCGCCCGTTTAAACAGAGATCCGTCTTCTCATGGACGTTGCATTGGATGGATTGCGGGAAAACAGTATTTGCACTTTTGCAGTATGCAGCGCACGGTATAAGACCAGACCCGGTCTGGTCTACCATTACGGTCATTCCCACTCTACTTCCTCCGGTGATCCTGCTAAGGAACTAAGTCCCAGTCCTGCCGAAGTTGAACCTAGGAGTGTTGCAGACACCGCTGCTTCGAACCAGCCAGGTTGGAGCCAAAATCAGCTCAGTTTTCTCACTTTCCTTTAAGCCCGCGTTCCCACCCTGATCCCGCCATTTTCGGCTTCCCCCTTTGTCGTTTTCTTTAATCTTGTCCTGGTCATGCAACTACTCATCCGAGATGTTTTCCCGATATGTATAACAAATCGAATATATATATATATATATATATATATACACACATATATATATATATATACATAATTTTTTTTTTCTTTTTTTTTTTCACTTACATGTACCGCAAATGCATGCATTGCAAATGAGGTATCGTAACATTTTCCTTTCCAATTTATATTTTAAAATGTGTTGAATGTGAAATTTATGCATCTTTGATTTTCGTTGTATTGTGACGAGTTGTATATCATACGGATAAACTGTACTCGAGTCAGTATGATATATAAGTGATTTTCTTTCGTATATCTTATGGTTAAACATATACATATATCGTATAGATATATGACGCATTTTTTCACATTTCATTCACGCGTATTGAACAATGGATAAGATCGTTACTTTTGTTTGCATCTATTTTGCAATAGCATGCTTTTGCAATATAGCGTATTGAAATGAAACATTTTTTTTAAATATATAGATAAATATGTGTAGAAAAATTTGAAAGAGAAAGAAAGAAAGTGAGAGAGAGAAAGTCAACAAGCTATATCAAATCTTGTAGGTTGCGATTTAGACGCCGTAATTTTTGAGCATTTTGTATGTGCGTGTTTTATTTATTTATTTATTTTTTTTTACATGTATTATTATTGGTAGTAATTCCTCGAATCCCATTCGGCATGAATATAGTTTTTACGAATGAGTCTAACAAAGTAAAGTTTACTTTTCTTTGCTATTTTGACGCTTATATTACTTTTAGAGCGATTCTTGCTTCGATTTTCCTATTAATGAATGTTGAGGCTTCCTTGAATCAAATAGGTATATATCTTTGAAATTACCAGTAGTTTCAATATGTTTAAAACACCGTTTGTTTGTTTATACTTTGAAACCAATACATATATATGTATATGTGTGTCACGCGTGTATGTGTGTGTGTGTGTGTGTGCGTGCGTGCGTGTGTACATATATATATATATATATGTATATTGTCGTTACTTCTTGCTGCTGGTGATGGAATGTATCGATTGACATATGCACTTTGTTATATCTACATATAATTAGATTTGTTCCTCTTGTTGTAACAATTCATTAAATAATATGAAGTTTCGAGTAATTGATTCTGTTATGCGATTATGATAAATGGGCTTCACAAACTGTTTATATGCGAGCGAGTTTTTTTGTACACACCCAGGATTGTCGCTTCTCGCAATGTTCTCTTCAATATTAAATCAAGTTTTCGCGAAAATTCTAAAATTGCAATTTTATACGATCATGTAACTAGCCCTTGCTAATGTGATTCGATAACCGAATCGATTACGAACGGACATTCACAAAAAGAGAAAAAGCAAAAATCGAATATACAATGATTGTCTCTATATAAAAGCGGTGTGCATGGTCATCATCTTGTGACGCAAAGCACAACTGGGTATGTGATCGATTTGTGATCAGGTGGTACGCGTCGGGGTCGTCAGAACGCTACTTCCTCGAGTACCTCGAGTCCCTCTCCGGCGACACCGGCCGCCCTTGGTACGGGGGCTGCGGCGCAACCACAGCAGCCACAGCAACTGCCTCCGGTGCAGACGCCCGTTGCTCCAGCGTCGCCCACTGTTCCAGCGCCTAAGGAAGATCATTTGCCGGCTGCTTCTTCGCCTGGCACAGCCGTACCGTCGCCGTCGTCCGTCCGCGCGACGGAAACCACGGGAGGCGGTGCGACAGGAGCAGCGACAACAGCGGCAACGCCAGCAGGAGCCGGAGGGACATCGGCAAGTGGAGGAACGGGAGGAGGGGGAGGGGGAGCAGGTGGACCAGTAAACTCTGGACCGACGGAGAAGAAGGCCAAGTCATCGGCGGCCCAGCCGTCCCCTTACTGTGACTTCTGCCTGGGTGATGCGAGAGAAAACAAAAAGACGGGCGGCTCGGAGGAATTGGTCTCTTGCAGCGATTGCGGCCGCTCAGGTAAGCCAGAGGAAAAGATCAAGCGCAAGTATACCCGGAGAGCGAATCACAATTAAAATTCGTCGGCGAGTGCGACTTGCAAAAACAATGCTGGTAATAATAACGACGAAGGTGATAACACGCTAGCGATGTTGGCGATAATGATGATGTGGATGATGGCGAAGATGATGTTAACGATCGATTATGACGACGACGACAACGACGACGACGACGACGACGACGACGACGACGACGATGGTGGTGGTGATGGTAGTGATGGTGGTGGTGGTGTTAGAGATGGTAATCACGTAGTCACGTATTATTCGTTGAATAAAATAATTTGGATAGGTGAGAGCTGCTTGTTTCTCTCGAACGGTTCATGTCTCTTTGCAAGCTTACCACAGCGTCCCAGAACATATAACCAGGTACAACTCAAAGAAAAAAAGAAAAAGCGAGGATTCAGCTATTCGCAGTGTTGATCGACTTATATGCGAGTTATACGGGACTAGCGATTACTTAGCGATACGATGGTTTAGTGCAATTCGATATCTGAGCGTTATGGAGAATATCGGGTACATGTACGCGCTACCGAAGGATCTTTCGATTTGCTTGATGCGAGATAATATATTCGTTCATGCTTCCACGTTTCGGCTGTTAATACCAGTAACGAGTAGTATCTTGTTAATTTTGCGACGAGCAAGCGTGCATGCACCTTTTTACAATGAATCCTCTCCATTCACGCGACGTAATATTCCAACGTATCTACGATTGTTAAGCATGCAATCGAAATGTTTAGAATACTCAGTTATATTTGTATAATTTGAAAGTTTTTTCACCATTTTTCGTTAATGTGTATCACGAAACGAGCCATTTACACACGTATATACATATATAGTAAATATTTAGAGGTATCACATCGCAGACTGTATTTATACGTGTTTTCAGTTGTTAAAATGAAGCTTTTGAGTTGTATAGGGTTACAGTCGTCGTGTGACGCGCATCTTTTCGTCACTGCCGCCAAGGGTAATAGAAACGTACTGTTGATTAAATTAGGTGCAATAATTAAGATAACCATTCAATTATTTGCACAGCTTAGATCAAACGGTTACGAGCTTTACATACACTAGTCAAGGCAAGAAACACAAAACATCGTTTTGTCAATGGTGCAACTTGTCGCATCTGAGTAATAGGAATTTTCAGGAATTCCTTTACTACGTAAATTTGCTGTGATTTATTAGTATTTCAGTGATTAGTTCTAAGATTAAATAAATCGGTACTCGCGTTATATCACGTTATAAGAGAAAAGCACGAAATTCAAATTTCATCGTGTGTGTGTGTGTGCGTGTTATGTATATATATATATATATATATCAAAGACATATTGTTTACTTTCACGTGAAATTACGCAAATTTGTTGAAATTCCTGTTGCACAGTACCACCAGAGCACGTATTGAAGAAGATGTATTTGTCTTCTGTTTGACAGTGTATCATGATATTTACGTTATTGTGTTGGAAATCAAAAGGGAGAGGGAGAAAGAGAGGCCCAAGTATGTACCCGGCGTGAAAAACGCATTGGTGGGTTTAAGAGGAAATTTTAGATACGATGCAATATATATATATATATGTGTGTGTATGTGTATACATGTATATATATATATATATATGTGTGTGTATATACATGTATACATATACAACACACACTTTATATACTTATACCCCAGCACAATCATGAATCGTTTTAACAGAAATAATAACGTATTTATTGTAAGATAAAGTGTTGATCGAGTCTTCGATATTTCTACGTTTTTTGAACGCTTGTAAATATTTTGTATCTTTGCGTTTGTTGAGTATTACGAGTTTTATAAGATGATGATGCGAACGGAAAGGATAGAGTTGCAATCTCTTGGGGATCTCAATACCTTCCGCGAACTTGATCGAGATCAATTTGAGAGAATTTCTCGATCGAGAAATTGACTCGATCAATCTCCTCGTCGCTGTCTTGTCCGTCGTTAAAATTGTCTGTTCAATTTACATGCGCTCGGTACGGTTTTACGATACATAATTCTTGCAACCGAAGAATAATTCGTGTCTCTAGTAAGGAAGATATAAAAAAAAAGTGAAAATTTATTGTGCGATGGCAGGTTTTTATTAGAAATATTTTCGTTCGTATCTCTCGTCTCTGCGTGCTTTTACACGAGTTTCACATTTTCGCACATTCGTATCTGCTTAACGATCTTCCCCCTTTTCGCGAGATAGAGTTTATTTACAAGAGTCCACTGTACTAGTAGGGTGTACTAGTTTCGCGGATGTATCGCGCGGAATACTCGTCAATTCCTTTCTAATGTATCTCACATTCCATCGTATCTGCTGCTCTTAATTTAGTTTCGGGCATTAGCTTCTCTGACTTTACACACAGTATAATCGCCTCTTGCTATCGTCACGTTTATAACAACGTATCTATTTATTGCACGTTTAACGCAAGCAAGAAGAGGATACGAGACAACTATATTTACGGAGCATAAAGAAATGTGAGAAAAACAAATTCTTCCGATCAACTATATCAAGTGTTTTAGTTGGATACCTTTTTAACAATGCGTCACATCGTGACAATATATATATATATATATCCTCTCGTAGGGATCTGACATAGCTTAGTTTTGTACAAGCTTTGATACTCGTACAAATATCATTTGATTAGGAATAACGAAACCGTATATCGAATTAATGTAATACCTTATGAGTTTTTCGGGGAGCAAGTATGACGTTGGATTGTATTTCGACCAAATTCTGGGATAATTACGTACGTCTTGTTACACATTGTTACACATTCGCGATTCTGCGTACGGATCGTTCACACGAGTTGTTTAATGAGTTGTTACAACTTTTTACTCCCCCCTACACATGTAGACGTGTGTATGTTGCTCTCCATGTTCCATTCTCGAGATATTTAGGATAATTTCCAGGTGACCTTGCAACCGTCTTCTCTAACTGTAGTTTGTTAAGATTGGTTTGAGTTAATTGTAGCCTCGTGTTATCAAGTACTTTCTAATATACATATATTATGTAACTCGCGAGTACGGAAAGCTATCGACAAAGATATGTTACAGCTTCTTTATATATAATACAAATATAACAACGTAGAATATTCTATCGTTTAATGTGGTATAACTAATACGACAGAATAGAGGATACTATATATATTTTAGTTTCTTGTGTATAAATTGACATTATATTATCCTTAGATTGTGTCGTAAGAAAAACTCACATGGTATAAAAACAATGGAAGCATGCAGATAGTTCCTCCTTGTTATATATAAAATTGAAGACTTGTTATTAGGCAGTTTTAATTAAGCAATACCCAATGAGGCTTAAAACAAATATAGTATTTAAGTCACACTAGTTATATATAAATATATATATATGGTTTCATATATATATGATATATATAAAAAATGTGTGATACGTTATGAGTTGCGTGTACGTGTGCATGGTGAAGGAAAAGGAGAGAGAGTGTGAGCGAGAAAGTGAGTGGGTGACTGAATGAGCGAACGAGTGAATGAGTTAGAGAGAGAGAGAGAGAGAGAGAGGAGTGAGGGAGAGCGTGCATCTGCGACGTTTATATTGTGCTGCGCAAGAAAGAACGTGAACTATTCCAAGGTACGCCCTGCTATTACTTACCACCTATTATTCCAAATAATAACAGTATGTTCAAAATACAACATCAAAAAAAAAATTACAGATATCATGAAATAAAATATTCTGTGCGGAAACATACGAGGACGTATCATTATTCCGGACGTTTTAGTGCTGAGGAAAGGTGAAAGACATGTCGAGTCGCACTTGTGGACCAAATTGTCAAACATTTTTCTCTCTTGCTCTCTTGTGCAATTCGATTTTATCAAAAAGTAAAATGTAATTTGTCGAAAAAAAAAACGATAGCTTGGAGTTCACTGTTCTTCGGCACAAGATAAATGTCCTAGCACCTTTCTACTCGCATCCCACGACAGATTCCTCATTCCATTCCAAATACGTGGTCCATGACGTGCGTACGTTCTTGTTATAGGGCATCCAACTTGTTTGCAATTCACTGCAAACATGATCGTTTCTGTTCGCAAGTACAGGTGGCAGTGTATCGAATGCAAATGTTGCTCCATTTGTGGTACTTCTGACAATGATGTAAGTATTTATCTCGCAATTTTTCCCAGGACCCGATGCGTTTTAGATTCGCGAACGAAAAAGATCCCCGTTCACAATAAGCGTTATCGATCAAATTGCAATTGAGCATCGCCGATTGATTTGAACTAACATAATATCGCCACGTGATGTATCGCTACGCATATAATATATTTCATATAAGATGATACATTTGAGATTCGACTGCCTATTGGCTATTTCGTGAGAGAATCCAGAGTAAAGAAATGAAATTTTCATATGTTGCATAATGCGAACTTTGGATCACTCGATTGATTAATAACCCGGTTTGGCGAAATGAAATAGGATCAGCTGCTGTTCTGTGACGACTGTGATCGTGGATACCACATGTATTGTCTGTCTCCACCTCTTGCATCTCCCCCCGAGGGCTCCTGGTCTTGCCGCCTATGCATAGCCGAATTTCATCGCCGTGATTAAGTCCGTTTTCGTAGATAATTTGAGGAGTTATCTACCGCAATGGTGCAGCGTTCGTCTTAGGAGAATTAGGAGAGTATTCACCAGCTCACACTTTCCTCGTATAATATCGTACACGACACACACCGGCGGAATTTCTCGCAGAGAAAAGAAGACCTTCTTCATCGATTACTATTTATTACGAAATTTGCATTGGTCATCGATACGTTAAATTATGTTAACAATAATGATAATAATAATTAGGAGGATACGTTTATATAGCATTACTATATTAGATATCTCAGGCACTGGTGATCTCAACGAGGTAAAGACGTAAGGAAACATATTTATAATTTTATCGAGATAGGAATAGGTGTATATAGATATGTCGTAACTAGGGACGAGATCGGGTGTATATTCCAAGTAGCGTCAATATATCGATATATCTGTGTGTATATTTGAGCCTTTCACTGGTATTTCCAATTATATAACACGTACAAATACTTGATATATATACGAAGAGACGGTAAAACAACACTGACGAATATATTTTATAAAGTTTCGCACATTGTATCGATATAATTTGATATGTACTTGATTGTAGCAACTTTCTTGAAGTACGTGATGTGGGCGCGCGTGTAAATTTAGGGCTCAGACATAATGGAAGGAGGAACACAAGGAATTAAATGTAGGGAATAAGGTACTAGAAATAAGCTGTAGTTTAAAACACAAGAGAACAAGATGTATGTATATAAGGACGTTTTAAAACGAGATCACCACTATTTTCTGATAAACTTCCCCGGAGAATATTAAAAGACGTCTGAAGGACATCTCTTTCTTGAAAATGATCGATTCTAACTCTTTTATTTGTATATCGGTTAGAGGGTTATTTCCGGTCAAAGCCCTATAAGCACACAAGCTGTAAGACCTCCTAATCCCAGTTCTCTATTTCTTTATTGTGGATTGATGCATAGTTATCCATATGTCGAGATTTAATTCCTTGTTCCTCATTCCTTTCATTACGTCCACAATCCTCCTTCGAGTATTATTTGACTCGAGCGAAATATGAGATTTGGTTATCGAATGGTATCGATACACTGATACACATATTGCACTCGGTCTCATCTCTAGTCGTAACCGACTGTCTACAAAGTTCTGTAAAGCAAGAACACAGAGATTAATAATTTTAAAGACAAAGAGTTCGATTTACCGACAAAGTTAGACTTCGTACTGAGAATAAAGTGTATTTTTTGCTCATTTTAGTAATCGACAGCGATGTCAAGAGTAAACGAACGATAGAAACATAGTTAAAGATCGCTAAATAGGACAATACTCTCCTAGTTCTAGACTACTTTTACTCTTAGTCAATGATATTATTATTATTACAAATATTGATTTCTTTCTTTATGGTTGCTTAAATTTAAAAAAGAAAGTTTGGCGATCTCGAGTTTATTTTTCACACTAACTCTCTTAGCTCCTCGCTATCGGCTTGGCTCGTCAGTCAAGTCTCGTAGAGAAATACGACAAAATTCATATTCATTAGAAAGTCATGATATTAATATAGTATCTGTTTCATAAATAATGATAAATAGAATATTATCTGTTTATCTTGTATGTATCATGATACTAAAGCTTTTACACTTAATAACATAGAACTGTTAGTAGCGGCTGTAATAGCTATCATTCATATACTTGCGATACCGCAGAAAAGATTATATTCTACATGTTCTTCGTCTCACACATTAGCCCAGTATTTTTACATTTTATACCTTGGATGTACTTAATTTAAGAAGCTGTGGTGATATTTGATATCCTTTAACGTGAACCCTCTCGGTTCCCAATCTGATTGTATTACTTTCTGTGTGTCGTTAACCGACATTCTTTTAAATTTTTCTTCTGTATTAAAATGACGGATTTATATTTTATATCGCTTATTTTTAACGTTCTGTATGCAAAGTTGAATAAACACTAGTTTATACAAACCGGATTTACCAAGTTTAGAATAGAGTGTCATTGCGTGTGCCATTGTATATTTTTCAACTGCGCGGGAGGAAGGGAGAGAGTACACAATATATACTTTGTGTATATACGAACAGGTGCTACTTTTCAGGGATCAGCTCTTCTTTTTCAGCATTACGATTTGTTTGTAATATTGGCAGTGATATTTTAAGCCAAGAAACACTACTACACAATTTTAGTAAATAACTGCTATACTCTACAAAATGTAATGTAAAATATATAAGGGAAAGTTAGTATCCGGAAAAAATATACAACATTTTTCATAAAAAATAGCATCAACAACACTTAAATGTACGTTTGCCTTCATTCATTTCAGATATTCCCACTCCTCCGAGTAAGCGACAGATCTAAGAGGAAATAAATCGTCGAGTCCTCACGATTCTCTTATCTATGTAACGTGTCAGTCGACCTCGACTAAGATTTCCGATAGAGGTTTTCGCTGCAAATCGGGAACGGTGGCGTCTTTGGCTGGATAACCGACTGGCAATAGTAAGACGAGCTTCTCGTGGGATGAACGTCCGAGAAGATTGCGTATGGCTGACCCGCAATTTAACGGGGTGGACACAAGCGTCACCAAGCCAGCGTACTGCATATGGGAACGCGCACCATTGTAGAATACGTAGATAAGAGAAAAATTGACAAAAAATCTTCACCTGTATAGCAGTAATAAGAATTCCACAGGCGATGGATACGCTCATTTCGTGATAGTAGTGGATCTTCCGCTGTCCATTCGACAAAATACCGTAGACTTGTTTGAACACGAGTATCAAGTACGGCGCGGTGGTGAGGTATTCCTTTATCCAGTTGGTCCTCAACGGCGACAAGTCGGTCGTCCACTTTACGCCCATCCTCTTTTTGTAATTGATCTCCTCCTCTCGCTCCACAATACACCTAATTTGCGATTTCACAGACGGACTCGACACGACAACGAAGGTCCATGGTTCTGTATGAGCGCCGCTGGGTGCGGTACCTGAATAAAGGAATGACCCGGCGCTCTAAATTACTCGAAATCGTGCAATGCGAAATTCTTTTCCAATATATTCTTTCTTTCTTCGCGCGACACAAGGTTTGTCTACACCGGGAAAAATCACCTGCGGCCTTTATAATCTCACGAATAATTTCCTTTGGAACTGGATCCGTGCTGAAGAACCTCAAAGATCGCCTCGCAGCGACTGTTTCATAAAATTCTGACACTCGAATCAACGATTCCATCGGGGATCGTATAACATATTGATAAGGTATGTGCTTGAGATCCTTTGGTAAGGCAGGTTCTGCTGCCAGTTTCGTCTCTTTGTCTGCAAGACACAACAACGATTATAGGATAATTAAGATGACGGGAAATATGTTTAACAGTTGTGACGTATCATCAAAGGGTTTTAGTTCATTAAAATGTTATTAACAAATTTCTCGTTATTTATGCTTAAATCTTACCAATGTCTATCTATTAAAATAACAGTCTATCTATTGAAATAACAGATTCTAGCAAAGATCCGAACTTGGAAAGTTTATTCCGTCTCCGTGAGTCTCGTCTGTCCCGAGGGATTCTTGTTTTACTGCAAAAGAAGTCTTTCTCCCGGCCGAAGGGTTGGTCCCCTCACTTCTTTTGCAGTAAGAACAATTGAGTCCCTCGGGGCACTACTAAAACGCCGATGGGGAGGCGAGGAATAATTTCAGATCCCAAACTCGGCTACTATCCTCAGAATCTGTTGTCAATTTAGTAAGGCGAAAAAACAAACATCTAATAACTTTTTACAATAAACGACGAATAAAAAACCTTTCGAATGTTATTTAGGGTGATGAACCGAACAATCCGTTTAAATTGTTCAATGTTTGGCCAACCAAGATGTGCTACTCGTCGAATCGAGATTCAAACACGTTGTTTTTGTATTTCTCAAAAACGAAGTTTCGCGTTTGATGTCCCATTCTCAATAATATTAAATGGGCACGGAGCATACATATATATTCGTTACTTTCACCTGAATCCGTGGATTCGTCGAATTCCATGAATGGGCGCGTCTCACTCGTTCTTCTAGCCGACCATTTGTAGAGCTCGACGAGCACAACATACGAGATGACGACGATTGATAAATAGGTAAAGTATTTGCTTGCAAAGGGCAATACTTCGGAAAACATCGCACGACAAGGTTTCGCGCGCCTTTCTCACTTGCTACTGATTCACGAACTGAAACGAGCTGGCCGAGTCACGAAGGTCATCACGTTCGGAAAACGATAAAACCCGATGTCTCCGATAAAACGAGACGCATCTCGTTCGTTCGTTTGAAGGTAATAAACCAACGGCGTTATCGAATCGGTGGTGATAAATTTCTTATCAACGAATGAATTTCGTTTTGAAACTTTACGCAATGTTACTTTGTTTACGCGCGAGTCCAAATTTTACGCATTCCTTGGAAGGAGTTTCCTTCTCCGGGAAAAAAACCAATCGTTTTCTTCTTACTTTGCCGAGACATCGTTTGATCACAACGTCGTCGCGCGCATTGACCTTGATTATCAATAAGGAAAAATCGATACGTACAATTAGAGAATATACAATTCTCTTTGAGGAAAATAACAGTAAGCGATATTTCGACTGTATCGATCGAGTGGTAAAGAAAAGGCAAAAAAAAAAAAAGAGATAAGATCGACACTTGGATACTACTTTGTGCAAGACGGAAAAAAACGACGATAAGAAATGAAAGACGAGATTCTCGTCGAGATCAGGGCCGTGTCGCTTCGCTCGATCGAAGAGACGCCTTTATTCAAAATGGTACCGAGCGAACGTTCGCTCGATACGGGCCTGAACGGTGAATGTGCGAGGGCCAATGAGTGGCGCGGTTGCGCGATGCGTAGCGCGCAGTAGCGAAAACGTGCACGTCGGTCCGGTAACACACGTCCGTCCGCATCACGGGCGCGGCGAATCGGGACGATCATGTAAAGTCGCGCGCGGTGAAGCGGCGCTGTGATTCCTCGGGACCGCGACGGTCCTCGTGCGTCGCGGGTCGCGTCGATACGCTCCGTCGCGCGCGACTCGCTGCATCCTCCGCGAGCTCTCTGCGTCGTACGTCGCGTACACACACACACACACGTGCATGTACCAGCGCGCAAACGAAGAGACTTTTCTCGACGACCGTGCGTTAACGCGAGATGCGTCTCGATTGACCGGGAGTCAGAGAGGTGCGACAAGTCCAACGACGGAAACAAGTTGACAAGTGCATCGTGGAAGAGCGAGAGGGGATGGACAACGCCATGCAGCCGCTGCTTCCCCCGCCACCTCCACCCGCCGAGATGCCTGAAAGCAGTACGGAGCAGACGGTCACCCACGTCCTGACATTCGGTGAGCATCTCTCGCAATTGTTTTGATTCGTCGCATCTCATTTGCGCGTTACGCAACTCGGCGAAAAGATGTCGCGCATCGGACACAATATCGAGTGTCAATGTCACGTATACGTGTTTAAACGTACGGACGGCAGCGCCGTCGTTACGAAGCGACTGAGGCGCGAATGACGAGCTATAAACGGCTTTTACCGAGCGATCTACGTGCTCGTGCACGTGTGCAATCATTTCGGCACCACGAGGTGCTACAAATCTCAGCAATGACATCAGTCGGGATAACTGAGCCCCTGACCGATGAGTGTACTCGCGCGAATTTAGGTGTGCCAAGCGAATGATTACGTATCGCAGCGACGAGATGTTTTTAACATCGAGAGCGATTATTTATGCGGGGAGACGATGTGCCGCCACCTGTTAAAATGCATATGAACTTGTTGAGCGATATAGATTTCTTGTCGCTTCGACAAGAATTGTGTCTTTTCATTTAGCGCGACCATCCACTGATCGAACATGATTTCAAGTTACTTTAGAATGTTGTGTCGCGAAAACCGTCGCGATGAAACAAATAGATGAGAAAAGCGCGTCTCGTTTGTGTAATCGCGACCAAGATGCAATTTCATCGGATTCGTGGCAGAATTAAATGTCCCGGCTAGCTGAGCGCGAATCCTGTTTTTGCAGAGCACGGAAAAAGCCGGTTTCACCAATACGACTTCTAAGATAATATTATCCAATCGGTCGCACACGTGCGTCTCCGGTAAAACCGACTTTGGACCGTCACTCGCGGAGCGTAAATTCAAGCGCGAGACGTTTTTGTCGCGAAAACGTCACGACGACGTTAGCAGTTTTGTAATAATTCGTCAACAAAGATCATTTTTTATTAGTCAACCATCCTCTGAAATAAGAGTCAAACTATTCCAGCGCTCTCCAAACCTGTGTCAAAATGGCTGGCAAGACAATCGTCTGTAAAATTGTTGTGAATTTCGAACAATCATCCTCGAATTGACATTAGTTCGTTTGAACGAATCCTTCTAAATGCTGATTGTATGCTCTCGTTTAAAATCACACGACATGGTGGTTTTGGTGTATCGCTTTATGATAATGTGGTTACAAGAAATGCCTTGGAGAAGAAACGCCTCTGTTGAGGACAGAACAAGAGGGAGGGGATATATATCTTTTGAAACAAACAGGAATTGCCGCCATCAAATTTCTCATGTGCCAAACTTTTTATATTCTAATGGCAGAAATTGCCTCTCTCTCTCTCTCTCTCTCTCTTGTTTGACAATAAAACCTGCTCTTTCTTATAAATAATTTCTAGTTGGAAAAGAATAACTTGGTCTTCGCTTTTTTGCGGAAAAGAAATGCCCTTCTTCCTGTAATTTCCGCTCAGTAATTCCTCTCGGAATCTCTTGTAAATTCCACAGTGAAAAGCGAATTCGTTCGAACGAGTGGAGGGGCGGGGCGCGTCAGAGCGCTCGAGCCGTCGTTGAGCCCCGGCGGGGAGGGGGCACGGTGTTTTCCAAATCAGCTGTTGTAGCAGTCCTCCGGCAGTCGGCAGTGACACTTTGGACCGCGCGTTTCGTCTCGTACTCGGACGTTCGTGGACACGTGTCAGTGCTGTAGCGGTGGCTGTGCCCAGTGAAAGTGCCGTTTCGGCAGTAAAGTATTTTGCAACCGTCGCTCTCGTAGGGACTTCTTTCGAGTGAGTGATAAAAATACGTTGAAAAAGATATTCGGTCACACGAGCAAAGTGTGTCAGTAGGATAGAATTAATTGTGAGACGAAAACACGGGAAGGTCGCGACTATGCGCACGTGACCGCGTCGCGCTGACATTGCACGCTCTTCCCCTCCAACAACGATGGGCGAGGAGGACAGTCTGCATTGCGCGTTAGAGCCGCGGAGCGACAAGCACGGTACAGCCTCCAACCCGCGAACAACCATATGCGAGCGAGGATGTGGTGCGACCTCCGGCTCGTCGGAAGACGCTTCCGACTCGTCGTTCGAGTGCTGCTTTCGCGAGCCGGTGATGCTGCTGAACGACGACGAGGTGAATATCGGCGCGGAGATTGTCATGGATCAGGACGGCACGCTGATCGACGATGACCGTGCGAGCGAGATCTTGCTCACGGATTGTAAGGAATCCATGGCGTTTAATGTCTGCGGCGAGGAAACGGTGGAACTGTTGCGGGACCGATACAGTAGAGGTTTGTCTTCTCTTTGTTTCTTTCATTTTACCGCCAGAGAAGAACGATTCTTTCTTCAAAAGGCTGATTCAAAGGGCTGAATTTTCACTCGTCCGCCGAAACATTCTTTCTCTCCTAATGAACACTATTAAAAAACCCTTATTCTAACGTAGGGTCGCATGCTTCTGACGAATGCAGACAAATGGCCTCAGGTATACGATAGGATTTTTGTGTCACCCTTTTCGGGCAAAAAATGGTAGTAAAAGTTGGTGGAAAGTAATAGCTTTCCGATTAGTCACGCGCCGTCTAAAATGTATTAATCACGTTTGGGTCGTAAAATTAACGACCAGGAAACAAAGAAATTTTCCTTCCATTCACTCGGGTCGTAGAGAAAAACTCGGTGGAAATGCAATGTGATTCGTTTACAAAGATGTTCCATGAGTAGTTTGAGCATTTTTACGAATAGATTCGAACGGAAAGGGGAAAAAACGACGGAAATGCGATCGAGTTGATACTATATACGAGTCATCTCACGCACACAGCGGCGCGGTATTTTTGTAAATGTCGTGTGCGCCCTGAAAAGAGAGAGAGAGAGAGAGAGAAGTGCTGCCGAGTTGATTCAGGCCGCGCCAAATGTGGCAAACACCTTCTCGAAACACAGTATGTGCGCGCTTTTCGTCGTTACGTTCTCTTCGACTGACGTATCTCACACGCAGACGCCGCCAATAATTATTATGTTACACTTTTCTGTTTCCACTTAACTCACGAGACACTCTATGTAATCCAGCGGACTATAAGTAGTCTTTGTATTTTCTCGCTCATTTTGTTTTCCTTTCTTCGACAAACTCTACATTCCTCCATGATTCCAATTGTTGATAGTTTGAGGATACGCGTTCTTATCGGCGGATGAGTAAATATAGCGATAAGAAGTTGTGGAAGATAGTAAATTTTAATCACTTTCTCCTGGTATGATGTATACCAGGTGTGTGTATATATATATATATATATATATATATATATATATGTACGAAACATGCCGTTTTGTGCGCTGTCGAAACCAACCATGTTGTTCTCATTCGTCTCGAGCGATTCATTCGTTTTTAATTTTTCAGGGACGTTTTTTCTCACGATATAACTCTCTCTTTTGTCGAGTTAAAAAGTTTAATCTCTGATTAAGTTGACGCTAAATCCTCTCGGTCAATCGTGTTAATTTCATTTCGCGTACTCTGAGATGGGCACATCCATCATTCACTAATGCGACGTCCGTCAAACCGTATAATGAAATGAAAAAGAGAATATGTACAGGAAATCTCAAAATATGAATAATTCAATGTTTCGATTCGCAATTTTCTTTCTCGATACCTTCGAAAGAGTGTTTTCCAGGGAAGAAATCGAGTGATAACGTTCCAAAACAATAGAGCGAGCCGCGTGATTAAGTGGAAGTGCGGTTAAATCTGTGCAAACAAAGTGTTTGTCTGATCGCGAGCTTCCGTTATCAATTGATGCTTTAACGGGGAGGTACTTTGCACGTACGAAACTTTGTTTTGAAAATTAACGGAACGATATAAAAGAATCGGTATATTGTTGAAGCGAGAGAGATTCGTTTAAAATCCGTGCGAAGAGTTTTCACTTGCCGAACGTGGTAAAAGAAACTTTAAAAAATACACGAAAATACGTTTAACTCGGTATGACGTTAAGCGATTTCAGATTGAGCACGCAGTTACAACGCGTGGCGATTGGTGTACGTGGCCACGATTGATCGTAAAGACGGTCTTAATAAATGACAAAATAATATTGCGAAAACTCGACACGGATGTCGGATAAGCGAACAAGCGATACGGAATAATGTATGTAAAACGCTAGAGAATTGTGTACAACCGTTATTCCAAGAGGGACTCGCTCGCTCCACTACGATAAGTACAACGGTAAATGATTCATCATGTTTATTATCAAAAATCGATGATAATTCGCTCACCTTTGAGATCATTCAACAATTCAACTATTGTGAGAAAATTTCGCGTTTCAGAGAAAATTTCGCGTTTCAGACGGTCTAAAATATGATCTCTCGCGGTTTCTTTCTATTTTGGTCACAGCTTATTTTCGAGAGAGTTGTTTTCAGAGAGATGTAAAAATTGGAAACGAAACGCTCGCAGAAAGACGGTGTCTTATGAGAATTCTGTAATATTTTGCGATTATCTTAGCCAGGGGTTCGACTATGGTTACGTATACATCCAATGGCGTAATATTTGATTCGGTTACGAAACGCGCTTCGAAAATCGCTTATACAGCCGACTCGTAGTATTCGCTCGAGCAGCAAATATTTCAGTTATTAAGCGCACGATTATGCGGCCACTCGATAGAAACCGCTTTCGCTGGACAATGAAGATGTTGTTGTCGAAAATCAAGTTTGATCTTGTCTCCTCCGTTGAAAAAGGGAAAAGTTGACGTCATCTACCGTTCCGACCTATCGGTCAGTTTTTTTCTCGATCACTGGACAAATGTTATTGTCGTTGATATCGCGATTTAATGACGCATAAATTCGTCGAGCGCTTCGAATGCTACAATGCCATTTCACGATTGTGGATAACCGCGGTACGTACTTCCATCGCAATGACGCAGCTTATATCGACTTATTTCAGAGATAAGGAGGGAGATTGAAAATGGTATAATTTGACGTATTTTGTCGGACGGAAGTAGGCGATCCGATAAATTTCTCGCGAAAATGTCGTCGCGTCGAAAATTTGAATTGCGACGAGTTTTATGAAAAATTTCACAGTCCGGAAATTTTTAACGAGCGTCCCTTTCGTCCTAGAGAGGCATCACGAAGTAAAGCTGTGACCATGTCGATTTCGCCAAGTACTCGTGGGTTACTACCTGAGAAACTTATCTGCTCGAAAAGGGCTTTGTGATGCATTATCTTTTCTTCTTGAAAAGAAAGTCACGCTTTCTTCGTAAATTTTCAACGGAAATTTGCACGCGCTCAATTCCCATAGTTCTCGATACGTTCGCACTTCCGTTCCGAGTATGTTAAACTTCGTCGGTATCATCGTCGATGGAACGCATTAGCATCGACTAAATTAGCGATCATGCGCCAAGTGTGTGCTTGCGCGATGTGCAATCGAGACAGCCGTTTCTTCTCGGATATTGTGTTCTCTCTAACGTCGATCCACGTGACTTGGAATTTGTTTCAATCAAGTCGAAACGAGTGAAATTAGCGTAACTCTCTCGTTTAGTAAGATTTCGCGTGTACAGCGTGTGTGTTACTTTCACATTTCATCTCAGCCAGCTAAATTCGTCCGAGCGCTTGATTCTTTCAAGTTGTCAACATTCTCCCTCGCAAGTCGATGGAAATTTTTTCTCTTGAACGGTCGATCCGTAACGTGGATAATACTACCGGTAACTCTCCTACTAATATACTACCATGCCTTCGATCGTTCCATTTGTGAATCAAAGGGCCGAAATCATTGAAAACATTTGTCACGTGATAATTCATCATCAATTGGACGCTAATTGCCGGGGCATTCGTGTTTACTTTGGCGATACGTGTCGTGCGAAAATCCCTGAAAATGTCTAAACTTAGAATCTCGTGTGTGCGTATAGTATTAAGCATGCTTCTATTTATAGAACCCGCACATGTGTACTCTACGATAATCGCATTCGACCGTACATTCGTGACATTGGGACGGTCGACAATTTGTCCGGATCGACCGGTTTTCGATTCCTCTTTTTACGCGGCGATCCGCGTAAACACGAGATTACTTATAATAATATGTACTTGGAGAAAGAACGCGATTTTGTAAGAAATAGGAAGCGTTTCTTTCGAAGAAAATCCAACGCGAAAAGATAGGCGGAAGACAATTTTTCAAGCGTGTTAACGCACGAACGAATTGCGCCGATTGTCAAGCACGGTAGTAATTGATAGTGTAATTGTCAATCGAAAGATAAATCTTTGTCTTTCGAGAAGAATTTTATTTACGCGATCAGGTAAAGAAAACTACGAGGACGGTTTGCCGAAGAAAAAAAATATTTATTGGTGCTTTACGCGATAAAATGCCATGTGCGTGTCGCAAGGCTTGTGTTTATAGAGATTATATTGAGCGCGCGAATTTCGCGACTTATCAGTTGAATGCGCAACAATTAATCCTTCTCGAGAAAAACTTTATATAAAAAAGTTTGGATGAGAAAAAATACATTGTGCGACACGCTTTACCACTCGGATAGTTTCAGAGTTAGCCCGTACTTTTAATAATTGTACTCTTTACACACACCTCTTTCTAAACTTGTCAAAAAAAGTCCATACCATTAATGATGATGTTTAATAGAACCAAAATCTTGTTGAGAAAAATAAGCGAAAATGGCGTGCGATGCGAAAGAAATGTGCAGCGTCACTCACAGAATTTCAGAGACGTTCGACAATTTTAACAGAGTAAAATAAATACAGAGAAAAAGAAAACAGGAAAAGGTCGTGCAATCATTACCATCGGTAGGATGCTAGCCTAGCTGGAGATTAAAATATTCAAGAAAGTCCTCACAAAGAGCGAATTTTTCTCGTTATCAATTATTTGCATCGCGACAACGTCTCGGATGCTCCTATGAGACTCGTCGATAATGTAACGATGATGATGCAACAGCAAAGAGAGAGAGAGAGAGAATACGAGTGACACACACGGAACGTATATCGTTATGTCACGATGCGACCGGCTCTTCTGGAATAATTACGTCGTAAGGTAAATTAATATTCAGGCGATACATCTCGCAAACTTCAAATACTCGCCCCTTCTAGATCTAGGACAAAACTATATACAAAGGCTCGAGAAGAATCAATGACGATTTCGCATACGATTCTTTCTCTCTGTAGCGAACTTGGGTCCCCTGTTGTCACGAAACAAGAAAGATGATTTTTTTCTCACCGGGCTGTCGAAGAAATGTGTACCGGTGAATAAGTGAATTCGTGTCTAAAAATATAAAATTGCGACAAATCAATAATAACAGCGCGCGATATCCGATAAATACCGAATGAATATCCAGAGCGCCTCGCGACACGTGGACGCGCTTGCCTCAAGAGGCGAAGAGATTATCGATCATATATGATCGTATCTGACGAACGGAATATAGACATTCGAAAGAAACAATAGATAAATGAACACGAGGAGAAATATTGGGGAAAACGTAACGAGCGACGCGATGCTCCTGACGTAACGCTTCCATAAGCGAGATAACCACGCCGCACGTGTAGCCGCGCGTCGCACGTGCGCGAAGATAATCGCGGCCGAGTAACAGTAACGCTTCACACCCCCTTTTCATTATCATCGCACGGTAACGAGCTCTTTCTTAGCCCGGCTACTCTTGTTGCCGAATAGAATACCGTAGTTTGCTACCTTGATCTTAATCGCGAAACTGAAAACAATGCTCGAGGATTTTTTTCCTGCGAGAAAATCGCCCGACTAATATAGATAACTTGGATGCAAATGATGTTCTTCACGCGTGCTGCAAACACGACCGTTGCTAAAGTTGACTAAAATGAACGCAATTCGGTCGTAAGATGTGTGAGATGAAATTCCTCGCGGTTACACGTGCATCCACGTGTGTAATCGGAGCGACGAAAGAAAGTAGTAGTCGGTCCCGTTACGAAATAGCGAGTGTGAATGCCGGCTATCTGGGTCGGACGGAACTTCCGCGAGGCGTATTCGCGATCGCGCCGAGAGGATTAAAAGTGATAACGATGCGCCGGAATGATCCCGAAACGATTGTTTTTCCGAATTAAAAAAATGTATCTTTTAGAAAAGGATCCTCTCTCTCTCTCTCTCTCTCTCTCTCTCTCTCTCTCTCTCTCTCTCTCTCTCTCTCTTTCTGCGCGCGTTGTTCAGCCGGCCGATCTCGCGAAATTACGGTACATCCCCTTCTCTCGATCGTTTTTCTCGAAAATAAAAAAAGAGAGAAGGAGGAATGTGAGAAGTAACGGCGTGTTCGTTCGCTCGCTCGCTCGCTTCGACGAAGGAGGCCGCGAATCGAAGAAATTATCGGCCGGCGAAATTCACGTTGTAATCCACGAAAACGCGCGGAACGAGCAAGTGGGTCGAGCTCGAGCGTAGGTACGCCGACGGTCTCCTTTACTACCTTGACACGCATTCCCGACTGGCAGTCAGGGCCGGGGACGCCCGGGATCGAACCCCGATCTCACCGAGTCTTGACCCCGCAGCGACATCACCCGTGGGAAATTGTCTGAATCTCGTTTAATCTCGGTAGGATTGTCGACAAAAATTGCTTTTCCTCGTCAAAAATCGCTGGATTCAAACGCGGCGTTATTTGCTTATCATATTCAGTGGGATTGAAATCTTGGCGATGATTTCCTCGCGCTAATTTAGCAAGATCTCTTATCGCAGTTGAATGAATCCTCAAAAAGAAAAATCCACAAAGGATACAGAGGTGAAAAAGTGAAAGCGGGCAATGCCGTTTAACGGCAATAATTGCTGTGCAGAATCACGACCTACTTGCGCGCACATAATCTCTCGAGGTCCCAACTTTTTGCGCCGTCATCGAATGATTCGACAAAACGAACGAATAGCTCGGCTCTTTTCTTTTTAAACACACACACACACACACGCACGCACGCACGCACGCACGCACGCACGCACGCACACACACACACACACACACACACACACACACACACACACACACACACACACACACACAACGTTCGCTCACAAAACGAACGAAGAAACGTCGACACTTATCATCGACCGACATTATTGATAGGATAAACGATGAGGAGAGAAACAATCGTAACGTATATACGGAATACTTATTTTTTTTTTTTTTTTTTACTAGAGACGTATTTATTACGTTATATTTTCAATTAGCGGCGACGCAGATATTACGTACGCGGTAAATCGCTCGCATTCATGACGCACCTGCCGATATTAGCTGCATCGTTTGTATCGGCATTCCGGCCGGACATTCGAGATATTTTTTTCTTCTTCTTCCCGTGTGTCTTTTTTTTTCCAGCCAAACACAGTTTGTCTCGCGAAAGCCGCGCTTACAATTCCCGAAAATGAACGGCCTCTTAAAGAGGGTGTACTTGAAAAATGTTTTTCTCTAGGAAAATTGTGTTTCTCTGTTACAGTGAATCTGGCCGACAGCAGGAACCAGAGGGTGGATATGACGCACTTTGATCTGCTCAAAGTTCTTGGCACCGGAGGTAACGGACTTTTTATTTGCGGGCAATCACGCCTCTATCGATTGCTTCTCATTTTTTGCTTTTACGACAGCTTACGGCAAGGTCTTCCTGGTGCGAAAGAGGACGGGCACCGACGCTGGCAGGCTTTACGCCATGAAAGTCTTGAAGAAGGCTGCCATCGTGCAGAAGAAGAAAACAACCGAGCATACGAAGACGGAGAGGCAAGTCCTGGAGGCCGTTAGAGACAGTCCCTTCCTGGTGACTCTGCACTACGCGTTTCAGACTGATGCGAAACTCCATCTAATTTTAGGTAATTTTTCCGAGTTTCATTCAGATTCATTCTGATGTCGTATTGCAGAACTTGAAAAATAATTGTGAATTTTCAGATTATGTGAACGGCGGCGAATTGTTTACGCATCTGTATCTACGCGAACAGTTTCCGGAAAATGAAGTACGCATTTACGTCGGCGAAATAATTTTGGCGCTGGAACATCTTCACAAGGTAGGTAGTGGCGCTCATTGATGAATAAATCGCGCAAGATTTCTAAACACGCGTCGTTGTTGTCGCAGCTCGGTATAATTTATCGGGACATCAAGCTGGAGAACATACTGCTAGATCGAGAAGGGCACATTGTACTGACTGACTTTGGACTCAGTAAAGAGTTCCTGCCGCACGAGAGGAACGGCAACGCGCGTGCCTACTCGTTTTGCGGAACTATCGAATATATGGCACCGGAAGTTGTACGAGGGGGCATGGCCGGTCACGACATCGTAAGTATTCCCGGAGAGAATTCCCGGAACGGATTTGTCCGGACGATAAAAAATCCGAATTTGTCGCAGGCTGTCGATTGGTGGAGCGTGGGCGTGCTAACGTACGAGCTGCTGACCGGTTCGTCACCTTTCACGGTGGAAGGCGAGAGCAATTCGCAGCAGGAAATCTCGAGGAGGATACTGAGGACGGAACCGCCGATGCCGGACTACCTGAGCCCGACGGTGCGTGACTTCATCGGTCGTCTTCTCGTGAAGGATCCGCGACGAAGACTGGGCGGTGGGCCGCGCGACGCCAACGAGCTCAAGGAGCATCCCTTCTTTAAGAACGCGCCGTCACCCTTCAGCTGGGAGGCGTTGGAGAAGAGGCAGATCAAACCGCCCTTCGTTCCTCGCATCCAGCACGAATTGGACACCAGCAACTTCTCGGACGAGTTTACAAAGATGGTCGTCGCTTACAGCCCGGCGGTCGTCCCGCCNTTCAGGGGAAGCTGCGAGAAGAGGGAGGGAGGGAGGGAGGGAGGTAAAGATGTATAATAACACGCGTGATTGTTTACAGGGTTACTCGTACGTAGCGCCTCCGATTATGTTCAAAGAAGGCGAGGCGGCGTCCAGCGGCGGCGAGTCGTCGTCACGGCTGTCCGAAGACTTCCTGCAACAGTACGAGGTGAGCGAGAAAACTCTGGGCGACGGCAGTTTTTCCGTCTGTCTGCGATGTCGCCACCGCAAGACCCAGCAGGAGTTCGCCGTGAAGATCATCAGCCGTAGGATCAACTGCGTCCGGGAGCCGAATCTGTTGCGCGCTTGCCAGGGCCACCCGAACATAGTGAAGCTGATAGACGTCTACCAAGACGGAGTGCACACCTATCTCGTGATGGAGCTGCTGTCGGGCGGGGAATTGCTGCGACAGCGGCGACGCTTCACGGAGGAGCAGGCGCGCCGAGTGCTGCGGCAACTGGTGTCCGCGGTGCAGTACATGCACGCGCGATGCGTCGTGCATCGCGACCTCAAGCCGGAGAACATCGTGTTCGCGCACAAGGGCGAGGATTCGCCGGTGAAAATAGTGGACTTTGGCTTCGCTCGGATAAAGCGCGGCTGTGAGCCGCTGCGCACGCCCTGCTTCACCCTCCCGTACGCCGCGCCGGAGGTAATGACCGGCCAGGGCTACGACGAGGGCTGCGACCTCTGGAGCCTGGGCGCCGTTCTCTATTTCATGCTCTCGGGCGATCCGCAGTCCTCCGGAGTCGGCTCGCCCGACCTGGCGACGCGCATTCGAACCGGCGAGATCGACTTCGACAGCGGCGCTTGGTGCCACCTCTCCGGCCCGGCGAAAGACGTGATGAAGGGCCTCCTCACGCTGGATCCCAACAAGAGGCTGACCGCGAGCGCGCTCGCGAGCCACCCTTGGATAACCAGCCACCCTTGGCCACCGCCGCCTCTCAGCGCGATCCTCCCGCCCGATCCTATCGCCGCCATCGAGGGCTTCCGTTTGCGCGAGGTCGACGCTGCCAAGCTCGCGCAGCGCCGCAAGCTGCAGAAACGTTCCACTTCCAGCTCGGTCTCCTCCTCGGCCTCCAACGCTTCCTCGAGCCCGCCGTCGGCTCGGCTGCTGCGACCGCCGAGCGTCTCGACCAACGCGACCACTTCCGCTTCGCCGGCCCAACCGAGCGTCTTCGACTTTAACGAGGACCACGTGAACGAGTACCTCAGCTCTCTGTCTTCTTCTTCCGATTCAAATTCCCCGAGAATCTCGCTACAGGATATCGTTGCCGGTAGGAAACGACGCAGGCGCGAGCGAAAAGCCCCGCACGACGACGCGGTCGAACACGGGCCGTTGACGCGATCGAGAAAACGTAAGCTGGAACTGGCGGCGTTGAGCGGTTCCGACAGTTCCGCGAACGAGCAGGCCGATGTGGAGACGAATATCCACAGGAAGCAGAAAGGCGGCAAGCGGTCCAAACGCCTCAGCGCGGATAGAGATTAGAACTTTCTTACGCTGGTTTCTCTCGTAACTGGCTCACTTTGTTTCCTACGCATTTTACATGGTATGTGAAACTGCTGCCTTTGGCGTTCGTTCGCGAAACGAACACTGCATCATTCCTATCTTGAGAGAGAGAGAGAGAGAGAGAGAGAGAGAGAATGTGTGAATGTTTTTAGCGTATGCTAGCGTATAGGGGGGAGTGCACACACAACTTTGAAGATATATACATGTTACAAGAATGCATTCTCGCTTTAGATATCGCGGAGATGCGTGAAAATGTCGCACTGTGTGAGCAGGGTCTTAACAATAAAATGTTTTCGCGAGAATTTATGCAATATGTATAAAATTTTATTTTTATTACTGTCGCTATTACTACGCTCTATCGCGAGTAGATAAGTCACACGAGAAACCCAAATTGTTTCGTTATGTTAAACTGGGGTTGTCTGTGATTACTGGGGGTGGGGGTGGTTAGAAGAATTATCACGCGTGAAAGTTTTCTTCCGATCTGTATCTCGCGATCGAGAGCTGGAACGAAAATTTTAACGATTGCTTCTTATGAATATGTATATATGGTAAATGTGCCTCGAAAAAACTCATTCTGCTATGAGTAAAGTACATCAAAGACAATGTAATGTAGTAAAAATGAATGCGCGATGGATATTACCTTTCGTAAACAGCGTATAAACGCGTCAACCCGACTCGGTATTATTTACAAAAGAAAGCGTGCACTGCTTATTTCAGTGGATTTTTCTTTTCCACTTACAATTCGCAGTCTTTCAATAATAACAGGATGGAGAAAGTGCCGAAAATCTATAAAGAAAAGAGAGAACGAATGATACATAGTGAATCAAGTGCTCCTTTTTAGGTAGTCTGTTGTTATATACACTGCTATATATACATATGTGTGTGTGTGTGTATATATACATGTACGTATATAGTAATTACACGATACGCGATTATGCCTTTTTTTTACACACACCGATTATAACGCCTTTATATGGTGTTTACGAAAATCCTATTTGTAATGATGTGTGTTTAGCGTTGTTATATATTAATTTCTATACGGACGAATCTTTATAAAAAGAGAAAATAATGTGATTTATGAAGATAACGGGTAAGGTTGAAAAGAAAATTTCTCTTCAGTATTCAACATTTTGCGTAAGAATCTTAACTTTAACTTGTATTTATGTAGTATTCGAAGAGGAGGTACGTAAACATTTTTGTTATTGGAATGGTGGAAACGAGCGAAGAAGACGAACGAATGAATTGTGACAAAGTGCTGTGAGAGAGCATATTAGAATTAATTAAATCGGGCTATATCAATTAACGTTACTTGATTCGTGGCAATTAAATTATAAATTTATAACTGTCGAGTTAATCCTTTTCAATTTTAGGCCTACTCTTGGCTTATTAATCAGCTTTGTGCGAAAGGATCAGCAATTGTTTCGTCAAAGCTGCGTCTCCTTTGTTTTCCGTGTTATGTTTCTAAAGTTTGAAAATGTAAAAAGAAAGAGAGAGAGAGAGAGATTTTTCTCTGCACACAATTCTTTTTCTACGACTTTAGGGAGAGATACATTTCGTTAATCATATATCGATAGAATTTCTTTTTCATACAATTGGATATAGTGTTGTTTACTTTTAGAGAAACGACTATATTATACTCGATGGCAATCGCTGTGAGAAATGAAATAATAAATGGCTAAGACTGAAAAGTGGTTGTATACCAACTCAGGGAACAGACGCGCGCGCATTAATTGAGTAACGTCTTGTGTTATCCACATTGTGAAATAATGTTACGCGAGATAGAAACGCATGCTTCTACCAAAGAACTTTCTACCGAACTGCGGTACTGCTCCGTAAGACCAAAAAAAAGTATGGTATGTAGCAGTGAGATAAAGCTGTGTACATACGTGAAATATCGTCAAATTTCACATACGATACAATAGTTATTATATACAGATATTTAAAACGAGAAACCATTGTGTAAAACATACGATTATATATTTAATAAAATACATTTCGCTATAGAGAGAGTAATATTCTTTAAGAAGGGGCAGGGAGAAAGAGATACATACATACGTATATATGAAGAAAGGAAATGTGTACATATACATTATATATATGTACACATATACACATTCTTTTACTTAGTATTGCAAAAATTTCACATTACATCCTATGGGTTATATTAGCTGCATGGGACAGAGAGAACAAATCGTTTTCTTTTCTTAATTGTGTGTGTGTGCGTGTGTGTATATATATATACACACAAACATTGTTACGTTACGAACTTTACTTTCAAAGTTCAAAGCCATGCACATACACATGTGTAGAAACATGCATACATATATGCATGTGTGTGTGTGTGTGTGTATGAAAAGTTATACAGTTTGCGCAGCTTGTACAAGAACGCTGTTCTGTTACTACCGCAAGTATGTAAAAGAGACACACACCTACCTTTGTTACCACTGGTTGTTAAATACATCATGATGCGATATTTATTTATATAACGCAGCTTCTTATTTATTTCTCGACATCGTTGCTATCCTATCCCGATAATGGTCTGACAGCCCGCGGTTTAAGGATGTATTGCCCATAGAACTCAATATAATGAAAAAATAATAAAAAATTACAAATTAATCTATATTGCATTTAAAAGCGACGCCAAACGTTTGACGGTAATTCAGAGCCTCAAAAAGAGAATACAAAATTATTCCATACGGAAAAAACGATTTCGTTGGTGTAACTGAATTTTCTGGGAATCAGATGAAAAAGATTTCTGTAGGAGATATCCACTCGATCAATTGTTCTCAGTTGTCTCAAGTCTTAATACGTTGCCCGTGCAAAAAGATTATTCGAGAACCACGATATTTGTGACTAAAGTTGCAAGCAACACTTTTAATACAGGTTCCTTTAGCATGTGCTATTTTTAATATTACATTTATTGTTGACAAAGTTATTGTACAAGAGATGTAAATGAGGGGTTCACAGCCTTTCCTCTATCGAATAACTGCTATTCGTAGGCCGTTCTCTAATATTTAATATTGTAATACGTATGTCTACTTCAAATTAATATTTATTATTTAGATAATGAAATAAAGTTAGTTTGCTTGATAAGTAAGAAAATGTACACCGCTGATGCGATTTACAAAACGTGTTCGAGATACGATTCAACGATCCCGCCGCGGCCGTTAGCGCCGTCGCGAATGCGCACGAGTCGATTGCGCAGCGTCCCTGTAACGCGTCACCCTATGGCGGCGCGCGTTGGTCGCGGTAGTACGCATTTAGCTGCGAGGTGTCTGAGTGTATCGGTCGTGATAGGATAGACGGACGCGCCGACCTTTCCGATAGTGGGTTGATGATTCGTTAGACCCGCCTGCCAGCCTGCCTGCTTCTTTGTTCGCGCGATAAGATCGAACGAGATTACGAAACATGTCGACCAAGTCGAGCAAGAAGACCGCGGCCGCCGCCGCCACCGCCGCCTCGTCTTCCTCCGGCGTCAGCAGCATGCAATCGCCGCCAGCGAGCACGTCGACGCCGATCGGCGGCCGGCGACCCGGCAGCCCGCTCAGCCCTACCCGCTATTCTCGGCTACAGGAGAAGCAGGAGCTCCAAAATCTCAATGACCGTTTGGCGTGTTACATCGAAAAGGTGCGCTACTTGGAGACCGAGAACTCCCGACTGACGCGGGAGGTGCAGACCACCCAGGAAACGGTCACCCGGGAGGTGTCCAATATCAAGTCTATGTACGAGCACGAGCTCTCCGACGCGAGGAAGCTGCTCGACGAGACGGCCAGGGAACGCGCCAAACTCGAGATCGACACGAAACGCTTGTGGGACGACAACGAGGATCTCAAGAGCAAGTGAGTAGAGCGGTGTGTGTTGCGCGCGTGCGCCTGCCTTGAGTTTGTTTCAGCCGAATTGAGCGTGAGGATTAACGTTGACAGATATATTGCTTTGATCGACGCCTTCGGAGATATCGCCAGTCAATCTGCTCTCTCTCTCTCTCTTTCTCTCAGTGAGAATTCTAGTCGACGTATACACGATATATATATATTATTTACGTCGCTCGGATGTAGTGATTAGCAAAGTAACGCAAAAAAAAAAAAAATCCACTCGGATGTGAATACTATAGAGCCCGAGAGACGCGTTTCCACAAGGATAGGAGTTTATCTCGAGATTCTGGCTACAACGAATAATTTTTATATATAGCGAGTGTATTTTTTTTCGTTTTCCACCCTCCTTTATGCTTGTTATAGCAAGTAAACCATATTTATGTGTATTTACATGCATTTGCTTCAATGGAGAAACCACAAGCCAAAACGCAACTTGACACATCGGTATTAATAGAAATGTGGAGAATGTCGGTTTCCTTTCTCTCTTATTTTTTTCGCTCGCTTATTCCCATGGCATTTACATACCTCTTGTCATTGAACGTTGTAAATTATGATTCATCATACATTCCTCGACTCAATTTCTGAGAAGTCGTCCGATGAACGCGCGTCCCTTTACTTGAAATTGCACACATACGAAACATAGCTGTAGCTACTATGATAAAAAATTTTCTGTAACGCACGACCCATGCAAGTTGCTTTGTTCGTTAAACGCAAAATGAATATGTTGAAAAGTAACACAAATATTATGTCAAAAATTAACACAAACTTGATACGACACTGAAGTATAAAATGTGTATTATTTTACAACACTTGTTGAATATCGACTCAACGTAAATACAATATGTTAAATTTACACGCGGATATGTGAAAATTTTAACACAAATATATTTCTTTGTGATTGGTTAATAAACTCGAGCAATGTATTAGAGGATATTAACGCCTATTTATATAAACATTTTTTTTTTCCAAGAATTATAACAAGGTGAAAATAAATGCACAAGTGTGAAAATAACGTATTTTATATTTCAGTGTCGATCAACACGATATTATAGATGTTAATTTTGTGACAGTAATTGTCGACATAACGTATTACTTTGTGTATGTTTGTGTAGAGAAAAATTTATGTGGTAAATTTAACACCAAATTGTGTACATGCAAATTCTACAAGCTGTATATTACATACAGGACAACGGAAGAGAGACGAAAAGTATAATCGACTCACCTTAGCAACACGGCTTATAAGCGCGCTAAACAACCTAAATGTGGCGATCGATATTTTTGTACTTATCATTTACTATTACCACACACACAGATATTATCTCGCCGCGAAAATTTGTCGTACTTGATAGCGCGTACTTCCGGATTCTCGCCACAAGAGACTATTATTATGCGTCGCCAATATTTTCTTTCGATCAACCGTCGGATGTAAAGAAACTTTGAGTTCGCTTGTGTTGGCGAATTTAATATAATTTTTACAATGTTCAGGAACATTTTGCTTAATCGTCGCGAATTAATTCGGAAACATTTTCTGCGTTACGACAAATGGTGTTGGGTTATAAGACGAACATCATATTGTTTGTAAACACGGCGATCTAAAAAGTAACTTTAATCTTGTTGCGTTGATGAAAGTGGGACACATCGGCATTGAGTGCGAAGGAATTCGGACGGCATGAACGGCGGCTTTCGTCGGCGCTTAGGTAGCGTGACGTTACTACGGCGGTTGCATCACGCTTACTATACGGTGATGATGTCAGCAAGCGTATCACCTGACCTAAAAACATTGACTTTGTTTCTCTGTCATGGTGTGCCGATCGATTTCGTCGAGAGTGAAACCTCTGTACAACACCGTGTTCTATCGATCTTGCCTTTTTATTCGCTTTCGAAATAACGTTGTCTTCTCGGACAAACGATTATATGACATCACCAGTTGAAAACCACTGAGTGATAGTTCGCGCTAAAATGTCATGATATTTTTGGTCGTGACGTTTCCCGTCGCAACGACACAAGGCGGACCGAAGGAACTTCTCACCCAGTGATGTATATTGCATCGCGAATTGAAAATGAATGAAAAAGAGCCGATAGAGGGGCGATGCAAAACTTTCGAGAAAATTCTGAAAATTCGAATAACGAGACACATTTGGTAAAAGCAGCACAACGGTATATCGCGAACGACCTCGAAAACCTTTCGATCGATCCGGCGGCGGAAAAAGCGTTGTACGAAACCGTGGCTGACATCATGTCGGCCGCCATTTTACAACGGTATTACACACGAAAGGACGAACGTGTAGATTCGTCTCACCCCCTTGATCGTTCCGAGCAATGGCGTGGGAACAGACGCGTTTTAGCGACCTTAAGCTCCCAACCGAGCGAGACGACGCCTGGGGCCACCATGGTAGAAAATAAAATTCTCAATGTGGGTCGTGCACCGCTCGAAATAGAAACACGCGCCTCCTCCTGCCCGCGCTGCTTCTTCCTCGCGAACGACTCGGAACATTTTCGGAGGAAATATCAAACTATTCATCTGATATTATTATTAGTTTCCACTTCTGGAGAAAACGAGATTCATATTTTCCATTTCGAGTAAATAATTTCTGTTTCACGAGAGTTGTTTTGACAGGCCGTTCAAGGTACTTTGTACGTGAGGAGAAATTGTCGCTTCATTGAAAATATAACGGATGGAAACCGTCTGCTACAGGTTGGACAAGAAGACGAAGGAATTGCAGATTTCTGAGCGAAATGCGATGATATACGAGACCCGCTTCAACGACATGCAATTGCAGTTTAATCAGTCGCAAGCAGAACGTAAAAAGTTCGCGGAGAAGGAGCGAGAATTGGAGAAGGAGCTAGATCGAGTGAAAGGATTGTTGGACGACGCTCGCAAGCACCTTGAGGAAGAGACTCTGCAACGAATCGATCTCGAAAACAACATTCAGACCCTCAAGGAGGATATTACTTTCAAAGATCAGGTTTATCAGCAAGAGCTTTCGGAGACCCGTACGAGACGACAGGTTAGTATTTGTTTTTTCAAACAACGAAATCTGATGAGAGAGAGAGAGAGAGAAGAATTGCAGCAATCCTACGTGGTTTCAGGTGGAAATATCCGAGATCGATGGCCGTCTCGCTGAACAGTACGAGGCTAAATTACAGCAGTCCCTGCAGGAATTACGCGATCAATATGAGGGTCAGATGCGCGCTAATCGCGACGAAATCGAGCTTTTGTACGAGAACAAGATCAAAAACTTGACGTCTCAGGCGCAACGTAACAGCGGAGCCGCCACTATGGCGGTGGAAGAATTGAGACAGACGCGAAGTAGAATTGAAAGTCTCAATACCAAGATCAACGAGCTTGAAGCCACCATTAATGCTATTAATGCGCGCAACAGGTAAAGTTTGCGGAATTCTTCAATGTAAAACCGTTGGTAACCGTTGGTTTTAACCGACAGGGACTTGGAGAACTTGCGAGAGAACGAACGCGCTCGTTACACGGAGCAGATGGCCGCGTTGGAGTGCGAGGTGGCGCGTATGCGAGAGGAAATGGCTCAGCAATTGCAGGAATATCAAGATCTCATGGACATTAAAGTAGCGCTCGACTTGGAAATCGCCGCGTACCGCAAGTTGCTCGAGTCCGAAGAGGCGAGGTGAGCGAATCAACGTACGCGGCGACGCTTGCTCTTGATTTACCAATCGAAATTCCAGATTAAACATCACGCCTGTACAGTCGACCAATACCTCCATGTCCACTGGTGGTAGAACAACTCCGTCCAGGCACATCCCTCTCAGAGGCGGTAAACGAAAACGTACTTTGTTGGAAGAAAGCGAGGAGCGGAGCAGCAGCGACTACAGTGTTACTAGTTCCGCCAGAAGTGACGTAGAGATCACGGAGGCTGATCCCCAAGGACGATTCGTCAAACTGACCAACAAAGGAATCAAGGTAAAGCCCCGGAAGATTGTTGCGTTTAGTTAGTAACGACGCATGTTTCTGTTCCCCTAACAGGAGATAGGCTTGAGTGGATGGCAGATTATTCGTAAAGCTGGCGCTCTGGAGACGGTTTTCAAGTTCCATCGTACCGCGAAGCTCGACGCAAGCGCCACGGTGATGGTTTGGTCGGCCGATATCGGCGCGACACACGAGCCACCATCGAACGTTGTTATGAAGGGACAGAAGTGGTTCGTAGCGGATAATATGACTACGATTCTGCTAAATAACGAAGGAGAGGTAAACTTTCTTCTCTTACGCGAAGTATCCTACGTAGTGTAGGGGAGGGGGACCACCCGTTCATATGAAAAAAGCAGCGCGAAGGAAGTCGCAAAATATTCCTTTCGGAATATTAATTGTAGAAACTGCAGCATAAAAACATAGAAGAAGCTATTGTCGTTGCAACGAAAAGTTACCGCGGTCTTCCCTACTATGAACCTGCGCATTTTGAAAGTACATTTCGTATCGAAGACTAATTAAATGTTCTAATATAGGAAATGGCAACTTCCGAACGCAAGAGACAGCAGTTATCGACATCCTTGTCTCGGCACAGGGAAAGCTTAGGATACCGACCATCCGAGGAGATTCACCACCAACAGGTAAGAATACAGTTTACTACATTATGCTGAGCGATGTACGTGGTGAAACGAAGCTTTACGAAATAAAGGCGAGTAAATGTCGCAGCCCGAAAAAAATAGTGACATGTAACGCTGTTGTATATTCGTTAAATTACTTTCTGAGTGAGTTCTGGATTAATTTTCACTCGTTTCGACTGAGAATTCACCACAAGCGAGTGAATATATTGCTACTCTAACTTAAAATTCACTCCAAGTAATTTATAGAATACATCCGCGTTTTATTTTAACTGCAGCAAAAAAATGTCGATCGAATATTTAGTGTGTGTCGCAATGCAATGTGTAATAAATAGTTTGAAGTACTACATAGTCGGTACACTAGATGGAACGTACAATCATGAATACTATACGACGAGGAAAAAAAAAATCGATCTCGATAGTCACGCTTTTCGATTCCATTTCCCAAATACTATCTGAAGAAGACAATGTGGCTATGAATAATATTTATACTTTTAAGGCATTACGGGGTTTAATTAACAATGATGCGTAGTCAGTCAACCAACAACACTTTTACTCGTTTTTTGTTATATACGGAATAAGTGTTGCAGACAACTAATTTTGGGGGGTAGTGTTTTTCACAACAATTCACTTCTTGTTCCATAGAGAAGATATCTCTACCCGTATTAAGGGTGAGGGCACACGACTCTGATGGGCACTTTATGTAAGTTGTTTTATAACCTATCAGATGTACAAATGTTCAGCGTTACGTTGTCAATAATACTATATGCACTCATAATACAAGAATTATTTCGCTTTATATTTTATTAGTTCTCATGCAGCACATTGCCTTGATGCTCACGCTTGACTAAAATTCTCATGCCTTACGGGAATTAATAATCTTTGTTGAGACTATTATCATCCCATCATTTAACCACATTGTCTTTAATTTAAAAATATTCAACAAGAATTATACATCCATATAGATAATATTTTTATAACTTCCTTTCTAGAGTGGAATTGTATACATGTATATGTATACAGGGTGAGTCAGTTAAGACCAGTCGAACCGAATGACACCCACAGTTTTGAAGATAGAAAGAAATGCTTGAAATAAAAATTGTTCAGTATCGAGCGGGACATTATGCGATGTAATGTAAACATTTTTCCCAGGTGAAGGCGCTTAGGAGATTTAAAGGCCATCTTCATTTTCTTCTTTTTATTTAACCATATAGTTTTTTTTTTCTTTTACATAAAACTGATTTCTCTGTTCATTCTGCGTATAAAAGTACTACTAAAAGGTAAAATCATCGAAAAGTGCATAAGGTAATAAGAAAATCAGATGATCCACTTGAAAAAATAAAGACGACCTTCAAATCTCTTAAGCGCATCCAATTGGGAAAAAATGTTCACCATCGCATAATGTCCCCCTCGATACCAAACAACTTTTACTTTAAGCATTTCTTTCTATCTCCAAAACTGGGTGTTATTCGATTGTTTGGTCTTGAGTGACTTATTCTCTGTGTGTGTATGTGTGTGTGTGTCGTGGGTTGCAACCATTTAAAATATTATATATACTGTTCTTGTGTTTTTTTTGTTTTTCAAATATGAGAAATGTAAATATACGAATATAAGGTCTACGTGTGTATCACAAGTTTTTCAAATCGCAATTTAAAGGTTTATCTCTCTGTCGAATTTTCGTCTGATATCTATAACAAATGAGTTTGTTTTATACTCTTGTTAGAATTGTACGCGCTAACGGATATGATAATTAATTTGAGAAACTGCGCATACACTTGCTTTAATTTAGAATGCGAGTGATGGTAACATTTATAAATAACAAAAACTTAATTTGGCGTGTATATATACATTGTGCTGCATATTAATACAATAATAGAGATGTAATGTGAAATAATAGACCGCGTCGAGGAAATTTGCATAAAATACGAGTAAGGAAGATCGGTGACTTTTAATGTTGCATTATGATGTGCTCCATATTTTCATATACATAGATTTCACTCTCTGTGTGGATTTAACAATTTTAAATGTCATTTGCTTGTATCTGGGTGATGAGAAATGGGTGATTGTACAATATGTGAATCGATATTTAATTTTTTCCTGGAAAGACCAATCGACTTTTAAATTTGATCGATTTCGATGTTGTTAATTTTTTAATGTAATATTGCAAAATTTCATTACTGGAGTTTACTAGACATATAGCTTATGTATGGAATTTGTATTGTTTTATTTTGCTCAGATCTTTCCTTTTTCAGTAATGCAATTCAACGCCAGAGGGACTTATTTTTCGTTAGTAAATTAACCCTTTGCACTCGAGGGCTCCGGAGCGGAGCCATTTAAAATTTGTCTTCAAACTCGAGGGCTCCGCTATGGAGACAACGCAAATAACTTTCAGTTCATAACATAAGGACAAAGACAAATCGTAAAAACTATTGTGTATAGGATATTCCGCTCTTGCTATTTGCATTTGAGTTTGAAGACAAATTTTAAATGGCTCCGCTCCGGAGCCCTCGAGTGCAAAGGGTTAATATAAAGAGGATACCCAATCCACTGATTGATCGAAAAATAACAAGTTTATTCAATTCAAATGTAATATTACTTGCGAAAGTAAAAAAGTTCCAGTCATCGAATGGTATTGCTTTGAAAAATAAAAGGATTTTACGATTTGTCGTTGAGTCTACCGCGACCTCGATTCTTAGGCAAATATTCCTAGTCAAATCTTATATTTAAGATCGTCTCGAGTTCATTTTCGGGCTGTACGTTTCATTGGCTACGAAATGTCTGAAAATGAGCCGGTTTTAAATATAAGACTGACTATAAATACTGCCCCGCTGGATCCCATAGTCGGATCGTTAAGATCGTCTTGAACGTTGTAGCCAGTGAAATGATTCGTTGTGAATACCGGCCTTAGATGTTGGCAGCTCGTAACTTCGGAACCAATAAAAATAACAGGCCCAACGATTTTTCGTCGACACGTCATCTGGCGATGATGAATAGTTTGAGTCTCGGCTGAAAGCTCCTTAAACCGACCTGTTGGAATTATCGTTGTATTTATTAGTTGCATAATCTCTGCTACGAGCTACCATCACTACTTTTAACGAAGAATTAGAGCCGTAGTGCAATTCAACGATGAGTTGAACAACCATTTCTTTTTCATACGCGACTCAGCTGTGGTCGGGGAAATCTTTTTATTTTCAAGCGGTAAATACTGATGACCTTGTTATTTAAGTAGCACAACTCGGCCAACTTGATTCAATTCTTTATAAACTGATTCTTTGAATGTCGATTGAGTTTTCTTCCCTATCCGTGACTAAACAAACGCTAGTAATCATGCAATCGGTTAAAACGAATCAGGGTCTGCGGTAATTACTCGTTCATCTTACATTTCTCGTTTCGCTGATGAAACATTGTATGTTTTGTGTTTCAGGGCGACCCCCAAAGTGAAGAGCGTTGCCGCCTTATGTGAACGTAAATTTATCGTAAGCTTAAATGTAATATCAAAAAGATTCTAAAAAGCTATCTATGATAATGGGGCTTCATTCCGTCAGCACCATTTTAAATAACTGATAAAAGAGATCACGCCATTAACACAGAAATTAATTTAGAATATAATATCAGAGATATGTGAAGATCGGATATCTTAGGTTGTGGGTTACAACAACGAGAGAAAAACGATGATATGAAATGAAGATTGAGACATTGTGCGATTTCCTTACATTTATTACAATAGAGTATATAGATATATATAAGTATGTACAACGTATGAGAAGATATTGTATAATATATTTGAGCTGACAAGAGTTCAAATCAAACTTAACAAATGGGTTCCGTGAATAAATACGTTGCATTTACGAAATTATTTCTTACGAAAGAATTGTATTCCGTTAAATCCACAGGCGTACAACGATCATCTGATACAGACGGATAATAGCGTTCGCGCGAGTATCGTCCATTTTCTCTTACGAAATGTATCGCGCAGAATTCGTCCGTACGAATCGTTTCATGCGTTCGTCTTTATCTCTTCCAAATGGTAATATTGGCCTAATAACATGTGTTGTAGTAATTTACAATTAATCTATGACAACTAGTTACGTTTATGTTCGTTCATCTTGTCCAACAGGAAACATTAAGTTATCAGTATTTACCTTATGCTCTTTTTTACTATTTCTTTTTCAAGGGGCCACATACATGTAAATGTGTCAAGAAAATCGATTATTCAAAAATATACTCTTTTACTATCATTATAGAAGATTCCCTGAAAATTTTATTCGAAAATTCGTAAAAATGATGGAGTTATAGTCTGTTGTAGTATAGCGCACACAACCGTTCACCTCTGTTACAACGTATCAGTTTCCTGTCGAAGGAGATTCGAATTAATTTGTGATACAGTATGTTCCCGTATGTGCGAAGAATCTTGAAAGTCCTGCCACTTCGAAAAGCAGACGTATTCAATAGATGTAGCCGCAAGTACTTAATGAACAGTTGCATTAAAAATAATGCAAGCTATGAAATTATCGTCGGAAGACAATCGGCATTTAAGTAACGCGCATGCAACGCTAAGTAAGGTGAAGAAACATTGCTGCACCGACAACAATAAAAAGACTTTTTCGAAGCATCAAAAGGAGAAGAAACATCATACGGCCAAGGAATGGATGATTCTATGAAAGTATAACAAAACTTATTTTATTAAGCTCAAAACGTGTTTTTCTCGTTTTCGAAATCGGTCCCAGAAAAATCTCAGACTGTTATTAATAAACCGATTAAGCTGTTATTTGACACGGTAATTTTTAACAAGTAGTACTTGCAAGATCGCACCTTTAACTTCGAACATCTACCATATCCATGCAAATTTTTTCAAATCAGCTCCGACAAGCATCAGTTTTGTTTACCTACTTCAAAGAAAAATAATGTTCTTTTTTGTTTCAGATAAATAATAGCGGAGATATAGCTGGTACCATTTTTGTCGTCGACAGCAATACTACTGCATTTGTTTATGCAGCGGAGTAATTTTTAGGAAATTGTTCATATTACTATTAACAGACATTTTAGTTAAAAGTACATCCTTTCCTTTCCTCTTTTATAACTGATCGCCTTCTAAAAATTCGTGAAAATCATTTTTTACGCGTCTATGTATGTATGTAGCCCCTTAAGTATAACAGTGTCAGACTGTGGGAATAGTAAAGTACGATAGTTTCGTGTGCTGTCGTTCGAGTGGACAATTTCGGCCTAAAGAAAATGTTCGATTAAGATTCGAGCGAAATATTGTGGTCGGTTATACTACATATCGATGAAGGAGAAGCATGTTCTTCGGCCGCGTTAAAACCGTGAAATTGTGCATCTATTTGACTGCGCGTAACTCTGCCTGAGTTTTCTACGAAAATCGCGCAGATTTCAAGGAGAATTCTGAGAAATGTATTTTTGTTCCTACATAATTGCGCCCATTTCAGCATACGAAATAATTTTCTTAATTGTACTCAGCTTTGTATCATTTATACCAATAAAAATTACAAAAATGTAATTATTATTTTTCATGATAATAGCGATTTTTAAACACAGTAAGTCAGAGAAAGAAGGAGCGTCAAATCCAAATAAGGGTGAAAATAATATACTGTTCGTATTCAATCTTTGCAAATATATATATATATATATATATATATTATGAATTGGCTCTGGATATGCGTATATAGAAATAATTTAATAATAAAATTCTTATTTTGCTTAAAGCTGCTGTTTTATTGAATTGATAAACGTTGCGATTTTGCGCTACGAGTCGATTAATATTTTCATCGTATACATTGATCTTTTTACAGTTCGTTGTTTCAAAGATGTATTTCATTTAATAAACGGTTTTTCTCGTCCGGCATTTCTCGTTTTGTCACTTTTTTCTCATGACCGATACATCTATGAAAATTTATACATTACAATCTTATAAATATTTGCGATTGAATAAAATAGGTATTTTAGTGATATTTTTGACTGACTTTGTGGTGAAATAAATTTATGTGAATAACGGTGCGAAAATACGCTCATATATACGTACAAACTTATTCGAATGTATCAAAGGTGTAGAAAAAGTATCGCCCTATCAGATACAATGGTTAGATAAAAATGGTAAAAATCATGACAAGTGTGATTGAAGGGTGATTTATCGGATCTCAATTTTTATTGATACCTCTGTACATAGTTTGTAAAGTATTTCTCGTGTGTATTAAAAGGTAACGTGGAAATTAGTAAAAAAAATTGTCCAACGTCGTGTTACGCATGAGTTGTGTCGTTATTTCGATGGTAACGATTAACCCGTATTTATCTTATGATAAAATCAAATAATCTCTGCACCGGTACATATATGTATGAAATAAACCTATACACATGTTAGGAACTGAGAATATGACTTTGCGCTGGAGATGATCTTGTTTCCTTCTTTTTTTCTTTCATTTTCTTTAATAAGAGAGAAATCACGCATACTCCTCCACACTGTTCATTTTAGCTCGAATGTAACAAACGCTTGTGTGGATCTCGTTATACTATAGAATGTCCAGCGTCTTTATGCGTAAACTATAATAACCTATTCTCGATTTGTGAAAAATAAATACAAGTGGGATACAAAATTGTGCATGTGAAATAAGAGAGAGTAGAAGAAGCATCGACGAAAAGTAAAATCACACGGCTAGGTTAGGGGTTATTCTCCACTTTGGATTCTACGTGGTGGAAGTCTTCCGATAAGAATCCCTCTTCAAACACCATAAACCGTGGCGATAATAAATGCACCACTGATATCAGTCACACATGGGCAAGAATCACACGATTTCTTTCGAAACGAAAATTGGTGTTTTTTTTTATCGGCGCACACAAAGAGTACAGCGAGATTATTAGGTAGATGACGGTGGGGTATTTATTGAAACACACTCAGAGTCTTGGAGAAACCGTCACGTTTTCACACAGATATATATATATATCTCGTAACTGCTATATGTCAACATAATATGGAACATTTACACATTCGTTTATATCTGTGACAAGTGTAGTAATCTTGGCGTCCGAAGCGCCGTCTCGAACAACACCTTCGAAAAGTGACTAATATATATATATATATGTCAGTTGAGAAAAATTGCAACACATCGGTGGAAAATGGCAGTCACGACGGCACGTGTGTCCGTCGATATCGCGATTAAACTCTCAACAAACAGCAACAGGTCTCTCTCTCTCATTCGTGTGTCCTGCCATGCCGTCGGTCGCAAGTGAAACTGGTAGCGTCGACATCCACACATGCGAGCATCTCTTACAACGAGCCACCACGGTCGGTTCACGAATTACCCGGCGTGAGATTGCTGTTGAGCAGCTCGGTGTTGGCGTTGTTCGCCGCGAGTTGCTGCTGCTGCTGCTGCTTCTGCTTCCTACGTCGCCTGCGATTCCTCTTGTGGACGCAGAACAGAGCGACGAAGACGCATACGATAAACACCGAGACGCACGAGACGACCATTATCCAGACCGAACGAGCCTTCTCGGTCTCCAACTTTTGCTGTATCACCGCCAAGCAGTTGTCGTACAGCTCGAGCGTCCGATTGCTGAACTGCACATTGGCGCACCGGGCTGCGTTCTCGGACGACCAATCGCTGCAATTGAACGAATACGGCTTCACTTGAATTCGCCGTAGCTTCAGCCACGCTTTGAGCGCATGGCATTCGCAGCCCTCGCCGAATTTGATCGGATTTCTCGAGAAATCCAGCACCTCGAGCGAGCAGAACGGCGCGATGTCTTCGCTGCTGATGGAGACGATCGCATTGTCCGACAGGTTGAGGCGCATGAGAGTCGGCTGCACATCGATATCCGGGATCTTGGTGAGTTTGTTCTTGGCCAGTTGCAATATACTCAGAGGCGAGCTCACCGACACCTTGAACACCGAGTCGGTGAGCTTGTTGTAATCGAGGTAGAGGGTCCTGAGGCGCGGTAGCTGAAACAGGCTCTTGGGCAGATTGTCGCAACCGTTCTTCGTCAGGTCCAGCACCTGCAGGTAATGCTGATTCGCGAACGCAGCTTCCTCGATATTTTGAATAAAGTTGTCGGCCAGGTAAATGTACTGCAGATTCTTGTAAGGCAACAGACTGTCGTTGGTCAGCTCTCTCAGCCGGTTCACCGTAGCGTCCAGCACCTGCGCCAGCGAGAAAATAATACCTTATTTATCGATAAGATCTCGTAAAGACGCGGCTAGAAGACCGATATTAGCATTAATTTTCATGCGGCGCTTATATTTCCGTCGCTTCATTTCACTTGAAACCTACTACATGCTGTTATCGGCGAGGTTTACACGAGAAGTCTGGTATTTCTTCCGCACCAATCTACACGAATGAACTGCTCGCGTAATCTATAAATTTACATAGAGTTCTTGCAATTCATCAAGTGCGCAAGGAAATCAAATGTATGCAGAACTAAACGATTCACTCGCTACAAATTCGTGGGAAAATTTCAACCGCGCGATATCTATGCGAGACTAAGATGATCGAAAGCCGGATTTAGCATGTCTGGGAAATTCATCGAAGCAAGTTTACGAAAGTAGAGCGTAGCGTGTCGACATACTCACCTGTATGTCCGCCTTTAAGTTAATCGGGATTTCCTCCAGTTCCAAATTTGAACACCGCGCTTCCAACAACGAGTAGTCCCTCTTGTAACGACACCTCTTTACGCTTGAATCCCGGTCCACGATTTGCGAGGGCGAGCCCAGCACCATGACATCCGGCACCGTGGCCACGACGAAGCCCAGCAGCAGAAAACCGTTAAAGAGAAAGATGCTCATGTCTGCAACAGAATGTCGCGAAACGATCGTATGATACTTATTTATAATCGATGCGAATTCTGGCTGTATCGGCGAACAATATACAACGGATATTTCGACTGTAGCTTTATTATTATCTTTTCGATTCATCGTTTCCTCCACACGACTAAAATTCGACGTAGCTTTTTTTCCGAGGAGATCGCTTTTTTTGCAAAAGGGCGTAGTTAAAGAGAGTTGATTAGCGGATAGCTTTGAAAAAAAATTGTGGAAACTTTTCCAATCGCCCGAGCTATCTCCGTAACGTTCATTTACGTACAACTCTGGTATTTCCGTAGCCTAATTAACCACTGGGAGAGAAATTCCATCGGTGCACAGTCATTCCAGCCCTATTCGTGCCCGCCTGTGGTTATGATAATTCCGGTAAGCATCGCTCGACTTAAAGGGACAAACATTTCGATTATCTACGTATGTGCATTGTCTAAATGTCGCCGACGAGCGTTGACCTCTTATAGTCGGTTGACCCGACCGACCGTTCGGCCGAGTAATTTCCAGGTGATGATTTCAACTTTGCGCCGAACATTTCAGCCGCGTAGTAGATTTTCGGTCCGAAAGCTCCTCCGTCTATTTCTCGCACCGTTGTTGTGAAATTCACAGCGCAGTCGAGACGTCCTCGCGAAGAGTGTTAATATACGTAAAAGACGAAATCGAGCAGAAAATCCACGAGCAGACTGCGAAATCCGTTTATCTCATCTGTTGCTAATAAGCAGCCGAAAATATCCTTCGTAACGTAAATTAAACGCAACTTTAGTCAGTTGAAACGTATTAATCCACACTAATCCCCCCGCCATTACATCTCGTAAATGATTTTCGTCGGTCCGACGTCGCTGCGCCAATTCGTTTCGGTGCATTTTTGTCACGCAGGATTTATCGCGCGCGGTGAGATAAAAATTTCACGCTATAATATCCACCGGCTATCTAAGAGCTGGAAACCATAATTAAAATTAAATTGCAGTTGGCTAAGACGAAAGTGCTCTCTTCACCGAAAGCTTAATAGCAACCGAAGGGAGGAAGACGACGCTCGTTTGCCCGCACATTCCGAGACATTATTAATACAAATTGGAACGACGGTCTCTTTGCCGAACTCACACCGAGATACAAAATCTCGATAATCGCTGCTCCTTTGAGGCTACCGTTCTTCTTTCACGAACGTTTCGTCGAAATTACAAGTCTATTCGTATTGAAAATACGAGGGAGAACCGCTTGTCGTACGTGTGCGCAAAAATTAACGACACGAATAAATCGAATTATTCCGAATTATAGCGAGAAGAAAGAAGCGTTTCATCGACGTACTTTTGCTTACTGCATTTCGAGGTTTCCGTAACAACGTTGTTGATCGCTCGCGATAATATCGGATTGTTACGAAGCGTTATTTACAAAGTTAAACACGGCGCTATATTAATGATTTATGTTCATTTCTGGCGATCCGTAAATAATCGATGTAACGCTTGTTTCAGTTAGCAACGAGAGAGCAAACATGATTTAAAGATGCGCTTTGTGCGAGATATATTTGACACAAAGTCACTCACGATCGAGACGTTCAAGTGTAATAATATCGGGACGCGCCATTAAGGTTGAATTTCCGATATTCACAGACAGTACTGAAAACTTATACGTAACATAGATTTCTACTATAGTGAGATCGGAAATTTTCATAACGAAGAAAAAATCGAAGAATGCAGGCGCAAATGTATGCACACGATTGAACCTTCGGGGAAGAATTTGATAAAACGTTCCTACAATTGTCAGCTCGCGGCGAAGAATCGGCGCTGGTAACTTATTTCCGGCCTGATCGAGGAAAACAGACACCGTGATTCATGACATCGTGCAAAAGTTTTGAAAGAGGACGACGCGGTGTTTATTATCCCGAGATCCGATGAACCGCAGAAGCGCGGTAAGTCGAGCGAATATGACTTGGTAAAACGCTGTTCATTTTCGTAGTCAGGTACACGTAGTCAGGCCGGCCACATGTGCCTCGGCTCCTAACACGTGGCAAACACATTCCAAACGGCATAACCGTTTTCTTAGAACAGATAGGTTCAACTCATTTCCAGGTGGACCTCACAGTAGTTTCTCGTAGTATAATACTTTTACATCCCATTTTCTGCAACAAGTATAGACTCCCCTCTTTTTTCGTCGACATATATTTTCGTTGTCGATGTCATCGATCGGTGAAAGAATCTATCTTTCATCGTCATATCTTCACGGAAACAATTCGTCGCAAGGAGAAGCGAATAAAATTGCAACGAACGTACGTCTGCTTAAAACGTTGGGAAAGAAATAACGATTCCTTCGGATAAAAGAAGAATTTCGTCTCGATCGATTACATCCCCTTTGAATCCCCACACACAGCCGGAACTTCTGTAGCGCCAATTTTAGAAGCGGCTCCGCGTCGGCGTTTTACGAAACTCTCGCGAACCAAAATAGACTGTGTTATCGGGACGGTGCATGCGGCACGACATTGCGCGATATACAGCAACAGGTCTGCGCAATGTTATGGAAAAGTGGGCTCGGTCGGGCTGCTTCAGTAAAGACGTTTATTCACGACGCGTGTTAATATTCCTCATCTCGACAAACGTTTCTCTCTCTTTTGCTTCTTACGATGACGAACTAGATGAAAATCCGTACTAAATTCAAGTTAATAATTATTCCAATATTCCTTGGCAAATTTTTATTTGGATCAAGTAATATTTACTTTTAAGAGTAATTATTTACTTAAATATTTTTTCCTCTATATATTTCCGCTGCTGTAATATGCAAATGAATATTTTACGAGTTTACACGGCACAAATTTTGCCTACGTTCGGACACAGTTCGGCTGACATAATTTTGCAGCATCCGTAGTAGAACGAAAAATTCAGCAAAGGCAAGACTGGTCGATCGGATGAATCCACATCCTATGGTAATAATACGACTGATTTTAATGCGTGATATCAGTGCGTCTTTCTTTTCGGTCGATTTCGATACTTGACGACTTTTAGTCTCCTTTGAAATCACCGAGTGGTTACTAATGAAACATTCAAATTTTCCCCTTAATAAATAAAGGTATATTGAAAGCAAACTCTTTATATTGCAACAATATCGTTCGCCACATGTGGCGAATAGGTTATTGTATGGCACAATATCATACCAGGCAAAAAACAAACGACCGTATTGTGCTTTGGTATCTACGGAAAAGTCATGCAATCGATCTTTTCTCCCATAACAGAGATTCGTTAATTTTAATGGCGCGATCGTTGATTGTGTAGCTGTGAGAATTGTTCCAATAAAATTCACACGTCTCTTAAAGCGACCGCAATATTTATACTTTACTCACTGTTTGACTCTTTTTTCCACCGCACGATTGACTTCGAGATTTTAGTAGATTTTGTTGAGAATGGGAACATGACAAAATTGCTACTATCACGGGGAATGAAAACTGATAGAATTATTATCGGAATTCATTATTTATGCGTATAAAGTGCGCAAAAGCGTATTCTCGATTTTAAAATAGATATTTGTAGTTTGATCACTGCTTCGTGAATTCTACACTGGTCGAGCAGATTTTTCCCCGACTATATACAGTACGGCGAACTTATATGCACTTCGCAAATAGTGAGAGTCATACCGCTGCAATTTCCTCCGCTTCGTGCGCAGTCTGTTAAATCAACATAAAGGTTTCGGTATTAGAACATGCACCGCTCGTGCTTTTTATCGGCAAAAAAACGAATATACCGACGGCAGAAAATGTGATTAATTAATGAGAAGGAAAGAAAGAGAACATTATCACCTCTACATTTTCGTTGAGAACCACCCAAAAGATGCATCATGCGATGGTAAATTCTTTCAACAAACAACTCGAGATAGTTTGCAAAATATCGAAAATGAAAAAGGAGTGCGATTTAACAGGAAGCGCCGTGTAAACATCTCACCATAACTCGCTGGATCGACGTGAAACCTTAGCTTAAATTTAGCCAAACGCTTTTCTTGTCCATCCGCCGAAATAAACTCCTTCATTTTAATCGGTCACGACATTTCGCCGGGAGAAATGTCGTTTCAATAGTTCTGCAGGCAGGCGAAGGTGTGTTCGGTCAACAGAAGTAATAAAAGCCTTTGATCCGTTGGCGTGCACATCTTGATTTCCGTATGTACCGCGCGTTTGTGGGAAATTGCGAAATTCTTCGATCGTAAGAGCCGCCGATAATAGCATCGATTGGTGTTACTCATCTACGAATTCACAGAGTCTGCGTTGAGAAGCCGTGAAATGTCGACATTTTCTCAACAAGGATTATCGTATGTACACCTCCGGAGCACACCGATTTACGTCACTTTAATTCGCCGAGGTTCGACGTTGAAGAATTACAGCGTCGAGATTTTAACACACACGTTCGTTCCTTCGCGTGCTGATGTTTTTAATCTCGCAATTACGCGGTCGAATCGCTCAATTAAAGCTTCCCTCGATACTGCACGTTTTCACACAGCCGAGCGCGTTTGTGAAATAGCGCGCGAAACAGTCCCGCAACCTGGTTTTCGATATCTTGCGACACCAATTCCCTCGACCTACCCAATCTCGATCTTCGTTAAATGTTAACATTTCTCTTGTATTTCTTGCTCGTTTTTTCGTCTCACTTTTTTACGATGTAAACATCCGCGGTGAATTTATTCTGCATTCCCATTTGCGATAAATTTATTCCAATAGTTTTCTCTTTCTCCCCAAACGTGTTCCAATGGTAAACCGATTTTCGCGTCGACGGAAAAGCGAGACTCAATGCTAATTCCGGTGATTTCGAGCCGAAGGACGGAAATGCAATTGCGAGTCGCCGGGGTGTAAATTACACTCCACGCGGCCGTTTCCAGGTTAATGTACTTGGACAGGATCTTTAGTGCAGGGTGTTGGGTGACTTCACTAAGAAGTTTCCCGACCGACCCTTCATCACGAAGAACAAGCAATCAGCCCGTAAATGTCCGTCGCGCGGTATTATTGCAA